GTTACTAAACTTGGATGACTCTTCGATTTGTCGGAGATATTCTCCTTCGTCCATAAGTTCGGTTAGAGATGATGGTGACGTACTCCAAGCGTCTTCTTTTGTATTGAATTTCTTAGTGAAGAAGGTTTTCTGTGGTCGAGAGGTTTGCTTGACATATTTCTCGATTTCGGCAGATTTTTCTGTTGCCGGAAGGGATACCGTTTGTTTGGTCCAGTCTATAGCGGGGTTCATGGCTCGGAGCCAGGGGATCCCTAGTAGGATCTGGTCCTTTTCTCCTAGTTTGGTAATGTTGAATTTTCCTATCATCATCCTTTGGTCGATTTGGACGATCAGCGTGCAATACCGTTCTACCGGTCCGCTACTGAAGTAGCTTCCATCGGCGGTTTTAATGTAAAAAGGGTTTTCGAGTTTCTTGGTTCCGATGTTATGCTTTTTTACGAAGTCCTCGGAGATATAGGTTCCTGATGCTCCGGAGTCAATTACTGCGGTGGTTTCGACGTTTTTCTGACGTGTTCGGGATACGAGGGTTATGGGGACACGAAGTTCTTTCTTTTCACCAACTGTTCGTATTAGGCGTACAGGTTTTGCTGGAGATGCTATCGTCGATATAGGTCTCCGGTTTAAAAATCCTCATCAATTCTTCTAGCTTCTTCTTCCTCTACCTTCCTCACTGCTGGGTAGGGGGCTTTCTTCTTCTGTGGACATTCCCGTGCCCGATGTCCGATCTGGTGACAGTTGAAGCATTTTACCGTCTTCATGTATTCTTGTTTGGCTTCGTCGGTGATCCGATCAATAACCATGGCATCCCTATCTCTGGCAGGGATGTATCTTTGATCTCCGCGACCGTTCTTCTTCTGGATTTGTCGCGAAGGAAACCTGTTTCTCCGAGCTAACAATCTTGCGTAGCAATTATCCAGATCGACTACTGCAGCGATGTAGTCATCAAGGCTCTTGGGTACCCCTCCTGCGTTGAACATCTTGGTTAGAAGTCCTCCGTTGAGGCCGTTCTCGAAATGATAGATCTTCATATGTTCTTCTTTGATTTTTGCTTGGGTAAGCAACCTTTGGAAGTCTGCAATGTACGTCTGCAGGCCTTCTGGGCCTTGTCTTAGTTCCAGGAGTCGTGCTAACGCGGTCCCAGATGGGTCAATCGGTCCGAAGGCTTTGTCAAAGCTTTCGTTAAATTCTTTCAAGGTTCCATAGCCCTTCTTCTGTCCGGTTGAGTCGATGTATTGGGCCTCTGCGAGGAATTCTTCTTTCCATGACCTAGCATTTCCTTCGTTCATGAACGAGGAGATGAAGATCACTTTCTGAGCGTCGGTTTTATAGATTTCCGAGTTGATATCAATGTAAGCATTGCATGAGAGCATGAATGACTTGGACTTGTCTCTGTCGCCATCGAATGTAGGAGGATGGTTGATCTTGAATTCTGTAGTCTTGGATGAGGTCGACATGTTTAATGGTGGTACAGGAGTACCAAGGTTCAGGGCTTGGAAGGTAGGGGTGAGTGAAGTCAGATTGTCAACCTTTTCTTCGCCTGCACTAGCTGTCTTGCTCAGTCAGGATTTTTCTGTTCTGGTTTCGAAGTTTCTTTGACATGTATGGATATAGGTGTCTAATCCGACTTCAATCTTTTGTTACGAACTAGGATAGTTCTAACAGCAAGGGCTCGACAGAGCGTTCGTGTTGCTGAGATTCGTAAAGCCCTTCAAATAAGAAGAGGTTCTTAGACTTAGTTAAAGGAGTGCTTTAACTAAGAGATCGGTTCTGACGACTTAAGATTGGTGGTCTTAAGCGAAGGAAGTTCTGGATGAAACCTAGTAAGATTGAAGTGACGTTCCTAAGTAAAGTACACGTGCTTAAATAGGAAACTATATGCGCACGGACCAGGGCTACGGTGAGATAATAGTACAAGAGTCGAATACGGAAGTAAGACCAAGAAAGGAAAGTTAAGTCGCTAAGGAAAATGTAGGGCATAATGGCAGATACGCGAGAAGTAAAGGAAGTAGAGTGATTGTAACAGATAGGACAATCATTAAGATAAAGAAAAGTTAAATAAACACCTTAAGTTTCAAGACAAAACTTGATGGTATAGGACTATATGAGATAAAATGGAGTGGGAATCTTCTATGAAGCAAAGGGGAGGATGAATACAGAGTAGTAAATACTCATTTGACAGGAGTGTCTGCTAAGAAGCATGCAGAAGTTATGAGTTAATGAAGAAGATACTGTTTTGTGATAAGACAATGACCCTAAGTATACCTCTAAATAAGCCACCAATAGCTTGCAAACCATGATATTACTATTCTATCATGTTCAACATAAACCCAAGACATCAACCATATTGAATACCCCTGAGAATCACTCAAGAAATTACTTGTAGCATATCAAGATTCACTATAGGGGCTATTCCAACTATGAGACAGTGTTATAGCAGAGTATGATGGAATCACCAAAGAGGAATACCCAAAATTGATAGAGAATATGTTTAGAAGAGTGGCAGAAGTGATTGGAGCAGAAGGAGGTCACACACAGTACTAGAATTATAGAGATTACATTAGTAAAACTCAAAGTCAAAAAAGTGTCCCAATGAGTCATCAAATTAAAATACTCATATCTTCACATAATGTCATTATTTTCCCACGGTATAGGGAACCGAAATAAAGCTGAGATGCAGACCTTTCCGACATCTCCCTATAGCTTAGTCATATTCCCACGTCTTGACACATGATATAGCAATTACATGAAAAGCTACAAACATTGGGACACTTTTTTGAGCCACTGTAAACCACCGTAAAATGTGTGCAATGGGTCCTGAGAGATTGTCTTATGAGGGTTTGAGTTTTCCAATCTCCAGAAGACATTCTGACAATAGTATGATTCAGAGTATGCAAGCATCAGGAATTCAGGCTGGACATGATTTTTATAGATATTTCTGATAAGATCAAATCAAATATACACAAATTATATAGAAAGGCAAAGTAATGCATGCACATTAGCATGACAGTATCAATTGACAGAAAATTGCAAAAAAGCATAATTTTGACGAAAAAATATATGTCTCACAACTGTGATACCTCATAGATAAACTATTGAAGGAAGTATGGCGTCTCTCCAATATAGTGGTCACCTTTTGTCTGAGCTTGCCTGCATGATGAATAAATACAATGCCAAGGAATTACAAATCATGGTTTACAGGAAGTTGTAAGAAAATTGTAATTCTGATGAAAATATATATGTCTCACGACTGTGATACCTCAGAATAAACCATTGAAGGAGGTATGACATCTCTCCAGTATAATGATCATCCTTTGTCTGAGCTTACCTGCATGATGAATACTTGCAGTGCTAAGGAGTCACAAGTCATGGTTTACAAAATTTCCTCATATTTATACAGTAAAGGTCATTGCCAATTGTCATGACCCATGCAGGAAGTACCTCAACAAAAGTTATAACACTCTCAAAATATTTACAGCGTGTGGTCATTAATAACCTGTACAACTTTCATATAATCGAGCCGTTGAATGAATACATATGAATAAAGAAAGTGTGGGAAAGCTATTTACAAAATAAGTATGGTGACATGGTTCTATGAGAGCTCCCCATTGTGGACAAAGAACAAGGTTGAGCAGAGTAAGGGTTTCGGTCTGTGAAGACATGCAGGGTGTATTGTGGGTTATTACGTGCCAGGTAATCTGCCTGTCTATTTAATGTCTAATGAGCGAGCTGGGTCGTGTAAGCAGCAAGTCCATCAAAAAAACTCACCAAAGGTTGTGCATCCAATAGCACTCATCTACCAAGAGTCTGCATCTTCCACAATTTACCAAGTTGGTGGATAGTTTATTACCTTCAAAACAAATCAATCAGATAGGTGACATTGTGTACTGTGTACCTTGTACTACAGCAATAACATGCTCTGCAGTTGAAAGAGGGCTTAGAAATACAGGTGATCCACGGCATTGTACCTAGGATAGGAAATGCTCTAGCGTGGTGCCATCGGGAGCCATAATCACATGATCTCATTCATGATGATGCGCGACTAGTGTGAGCTGTTAATGGAAGGATTGGCTTCTGAGGTCAGGAAACATGGATGGCTTGATGAGGTTTAATATTTCATGTTTCTCCTCTGGCTGTCGAAGCCATATAGGAGCAAGAAGTATTCACGTCCCATAGCGAGTCTGCCAACATCAATGCTCCTTTAGAACTAAGGGCCAGCAAAGAGGAACATACACGAGTGGATTGTGTGAGGTTCTCTACATGGTAACTGGCATCATAACTTGTAAGTGAGATGAAGGTTAAATGAGTCACTGCTGGCACCTCATTCGTGATCATGACTGCCTAGTCTAAACCAAATGAGAGATCGCTCGGAAAAAATAGGGCTGTGGACTGTAGCAGTCTGTCATGCCAGAGGCACTTGACAATCGACAATACATATTTGATGGCAACTGCAGTCTGGTCAGTGATCGCTTGCAATGGAAACGAGGCCACTCACATATTGGATTCCCATACATGAACAACGAGATAGTGACTCAGGGTGACATAGTTATAGCAAGCCTACCAGTGGCTCAAATGTTGGATCTCTCCATGAGCAACATTCCAAGGACAGTGCAAGCTGGAGGGTCCTGCTCAACTTAAATCAGCCAAACGAATGATGATACTCTAAGAAGCTACCAACCGTGACATCTAGGGATGAAAGGGGAGGTGAAGTGGGACGAAGATATATACCTACCATACTACTGCGGATAGTAAATCAATCATTCTGTGTCGTGTATGTCCAACTGAATCTTGATGAGATTCACTGGTCACATCAGTAAGGAACTGTAGCTTTTGGCAGACAGTTGAGTCATATCCGGTGTGTACTCACGTTCCATGCGGCAACAACTTCAAGTTCACACACAAGCTCAAACAGTGTCACATGGAAGCTGAGGCATTCATGTATATTGGACCAATATTGGACTACATAGTAGTGTTTATATAGAGCACAAGGGTATTGAACCCCATCATTGAATCAGTCCAGGCCCAAAGCTGGCCATCGTCAATGGAATCATGAGCCCTCCCCCAACAACAAGGATCAGCCCGCATCCTATCCTTTCGGACAAGGGAAGGCCAAATTCAACAGTGAAGATCCCTGCTAGAACTCCAATGATGGCAAATGCCAAACTCTAGTGCGCCTGTCAGTAATGACTCATTGTGATGAATACCTTATTTCACCTCATCAGGAATGTGAACATCAGTATACTCACAAGGATCACAAAAGTGCCCATCTCCTCTTGTAAGTAATATGCCTATCCAATCGATATTGTCAGACCAGGCTGCAAACAAAAAAAAGAAGATGATCGCACTGAAAAGTCAAGGTATCTCAAGCTTTGAACCAATTGTTGTGCAATTGTGCACCCGATGATGCTGTAGACACAGAGAATGAAGGAGATGGAACACAATGCCTTCATAGCCAGTTGTGTACCTAGACCTGGAACTGCAAGGATGCTGGCGTTGACCGCCATAATGACACTTGCCTGTCAGACAAATAGTAAGTGTTCTCAATTAGGCCACAATGTAGCACTCACCACGGTAGTTTGAGCTTTGGCCTGGGCGCTGAAATCATCAGTAAATCTCCTGATGTCCACCCCATTTATGAGACCATCAACATAAACATGTTTAAGACGATCTAGCATTAGGAATGGAATCCAAAACATAGCAACTGCAGTGCCAGTCAGGAAGGGAGACTTTTTGAGGGGTCCACGCTTCCCGGCCACCGAATGCACATCAAGCGCACTTCGGGTTGGCCATGGTGATTTAGGTATTCGTGATGGCCTTCGAATATTCAATCAGGATATGTCTGGTATGAGAAATAGCATCATACGGAGAATATATGCTAATCTGCCTGTTCAAGATAAATTTATAGTTCCAGTCTTTCCAAGGCTCACGTACCATAGATGACGGTACATGTTCCATCCATAGCTCCATCGTGTCTTGCAAAGTCCTCTGTTTTGGTCGTCAACTTGAAGATGTAGCTTGAGATCAGCGTGCATGCCTACAGCGGCCATTTCCTTCATTTCGTCGGTGTAGAGAATCATGCCTCTCATGGTGTGATATGGCGCTTTACACTAGGAAGTATACAGCACAAACTTGCAGCATCATTCTGTGTGCTATCTGCAGCAATTCCTATATGAGGCACAGCTTTCCCGCGCTTCACGATGTATATGCGCGCGCGCGTTCCCGCGCTTGAGCGCCTTATAGCACCAGCCATCTAGAAGCATCCATCCACTGTCCACCAAGCCCTCTAGTGCGTACATTTCCATTTCTTTTATTAGCATATCATTCCACCATTATTTTTATTATGGTTTCTCACTCATATATATCTTTGCATACCTACTCGGTAGCGCTTCGGCTCCGCATGACCACGCTTAGGCGCACTATATAAGCGCCAGCAGTACATACTATTAGGGATCTGACTTTTCCTACTTTGCACTTTTCACCTTACTTTAGTTACTTTCCACCCACTTACTACCTAAAAACTCGCAGTAGAAATCTATTTGTTTACACTTCACATCACTCTTCTCTTATCTTATATCATATCATCACTTAAGTTTAGTCTCTCTTATTTCCGCTTATGCGCGCGCGTGTTCCCGCGCCTTGCGCGCATCTGCGTTTTCTCACGCTTCGCTTCCGCGCATACCCCTAGATCTTCGCTGTACTCACTTCCCCTTTAGGGTCGAACACACTTGTCTCCTCAAGTAACGCAGACTAGGCAACACGCGACCTTACAACTTTTACAGATACAGTCAGGAGCATCATTTGTTCCTCTTTGTATTGTAGTTTCTACATCGGATTTCCAAAATATCAAAGCCGCCATTGAGCGTTCCATGGTGGATGCTTCTATTTATTCCTCAGGTTCGTCTTGTTCAGGCGCTATAATGCTGAAGAACTCACCCACACGATACCAATTCAACTTAATGCACAAAGTTCTGACGTCCTGGAGAGGTATGTCAATCCCATGGGGAAAGTACTTGGCGTGTTTCCTGGTGCAATTGAAAATGTTTGCTTCCATTAGAATGGTGATCTTTAGCTCACCAGTACTGAGCCTCCAGTTCGAGTCCTGTCCAAAACAAGTTCAATAACAAAAACCACAAAAAAAATTGACATAATTTTATGGTTCCAGTGCCGCGCCGTTGTACATTCCTGGAAAAGAATATAGCCATCCACCAGTTCTAGCCAGGCAATGATCCTTCTCTCCAGAACCACGTAGTAGTATATATAGATGTCTATTCCTCTCATTCGGAGCGGCTTGACTACTAGCAACCATTTCCTGCCGTTTAGTTTGGATCTTGACACCTTGATCTACGACTCGAGCCTCTGGAGCTGTGCATCTGAAAATTCCGTCATGTTAATTTCCGCATACAGTGGCTCAAAAAAGTGTCCGAATGTTTATGCATATTTAGGTAATTGGACAATGGCAAGCTAGGACAAAATGATAACAAAATGGTATAGGGACATGTCTGAAAGCCCTATATTCCAGCTCGCATTTGAGATAAATACCGTGGGAATACAACCATATATGGGCAAGATACGGTAATTTCAAATACATGACTCATTCGGACACTTTTTTGACTTTTTATTAAAATTACAAAGTCAGACCATTCATACATTATATTCTTAATTAAAGTGGTGTCATAATACTTATGTGGTCTGATTTTAATATTATTTGAATATATAAACTCACATAATATCATGAAATTCAACATAATCATCATGAAACCCATCTCTTCTGCTCAAAAGGATAATATCCTTGTTCTCTGTACCTCTGGTTTATCTACTAGGCAAATTGCCTCCAAAACTGGTCTTGGCAAGTCTACTATTGCTACAGTCATAAAGGAACACATGCCAGAGAAGGAAAATCATAAAATGGGATGTCCCCCCAAGCTTACTCCACAGAATAAAAGGGCTATTGTTCACCAAATTCTATCTGGCAAGGCTTCAAATGCTACTCAAGCTACCAAGTTCATCAATTCCATCATCTCCACTCCTGTCTCAACCCAAACTGTCAGAAACACCCTCAAGGCAGCCAATTTCAAGGCTGTAACCAAGAAGAAAAAACCTCTTCTCTCTGCAGCTCATAGGAAGAGAAGGCTGGCCTTTGCTTTAAAGCACCAACATTGGACTGTGGAAGACTGGAAGAAAGTTATTTGGTCAGATGAAACAAAAATCAATAGAATGGGGTCAAATGGCCAGGAATATGTATGGAAAAAGGCAGGAGAACCATTAGGAGAAAGGGAAGTTAAGGGTACACTGAAGTTTGGAGGAGGAAATATGATGGTATGGGGTTGTATGGGATGGAATGGTGTGGGGATTCTTTGTGAAGTAGAAGGAAGGATGAATGCAGAGCAGTACATCTCCATTCTAGAGGAGTGTCTACTCAAAAGCATGCAGGAGTCAGGTATTGATGAAGAAGACATTATCTTTCAACAAGATAATGACCACAAGCACACCTCAAAACTGGCTACAAAATGGTTTGAAGACCATGATATCAATGTTCTATCATGGCCAGCACAGTCTCCAGATCTTAATCCCATTGAACATCTCTGGGAATTACTCAAAAGACTACTTGCTGCCTATCAAGATCCTCCAAAGGGGCTATTTGAACTATGGGAGAGAGTTGCAGCAGAGTGGGAAAAGATTGCTAAAGAGGAGTGTCAGAAATTGATAGAAAGTATGCCTAGGAGGATTGCAGCAGTTATTAAAGCCAAGGGGGGTAATACCAAGTACTAGAATTATAGAATAGTCTTGGTTAAATATAAAGTCAAAAAGTGTCCGAATGAGTCATGTATTTGAAATTACCGTATCTTGCCCATAGGTCACGTAACGACCGATTGGGTAAACTGCTGCATAATTCAAGTAAGCTGCCGGAAGCATTACACTACGCAGTCTTACCGAATTGAACCACTTATCTACTTCTCTCTGATAGTATCTGTTACTTACTCGGTGTTACAAGTAACATCGGCTACATGGCCCCCCTATCATTTTTCCCCTTCGTCCTCACCCTCGTATGCCTCCGGCTCGTACTTCTCTACCGACTATCCGTTGACCAGATCCTCGGGACCGTTCCCGTCCCTCATCCCCCTCCTATCGCACCAACGTGCGCACGTGCCTTCGGGCTATGACTCGTTCTGACTCGTGCCACCAATGTGGCTTTCCTTATCTTGTCTTATCTTTCCTTTGACTCGTGCATGCTGCACATTGTATCATTTACCGTTGGCTCGTTCCAACGTTTCTCGGTCTCATTCCGCATTCGACCTTACATCACTAATCAGGCTCTGCTACCAGCGTACCTATACCCTTTCCGTTTCCCCTTTGCCCTTACCTACAGTACGGTAGCCTTGCCCTTAACCCTTTCCACTTAGTATAAGTAGTCGGTCATTTTGTACTAGATTCCCTAACTTGAATCTACTCAATCTTCCCTCGAACATACTTCCCTCTGAAGCCCCCTCAGCTTCAGTCTCTAGTATCTTTTCTTAGGTGCTCATCGCGCCTAAGTCTACCTCGATCGACTACCTCATCGTTCGGACAAGACTGTCCTTACTTTGAGAACGTCAGTGACTTTGAAGACATCCGTCTTAGAAGTCACGTGACACGCGCGTCTCTGATATCTGCCGACTCGACGTCGCCAGTCTCAGTCGCTATACCGGACCCTTCCGGTTACGTCACGAACATTAGCGGACGACGCCCCTCTTAGGGCTCCGCATAACAGATCTATTTGAGTGCGTAACACTCGGAGGCGGTCATACAATTTTACGTTACTTACCACTACTTTTCCGTCTTTCACTAGCAACGGTCCATGAGCACCTGTATGTGGTATGCGAGCCATTTATATGTTTGTATGATGTGTGAGGGATCGGCAGAATTGATTCAGGGGTGTGGTACCTTAAGATCTCCCGAAGTAGTTGAGTTTGTGCTGAGTTGTCATAATCAGATCTTATAATGCTGTGGCAAATAAAGATAAACAATTCAACATTTGCCTAATTAGGCTGTATGAGTCTCTGATTCAAATTAGTTGGACGACGTCGACCTTTGACCCGTCATCTCAATATTGCTAGCCCCTCCTCATCATTGTTCTACTTGGTGCAATCATCTTAAGCCCGGTATGTTGAAACTATCCAGAAGAAGGTGGTATTTTGGGATACTGCTGTTTTATTGGGTGTGTTACTCTTTTCCCCTTATTTCTTTGTCTTCTGGACTCTAAATATCTCCTCTTCGCCTGACTGCGCCATCAAGAACCTCCCAGTGCCCTTACAGCCTCCCCAGAACTCTCTTTTCACCTAACCACACCCTCCAGCACCCACTTTATTTTGCTTTCGCTCATGCCAACTATTCTATATCTAACCTCCCGCTATCTTTTGAATGCTTTATGTCTGACTGTAAGTACTTGAGTCCTCCCTATTCTACATCATCTCATACCCTCACCCTAGTAAACTCAAGGCCTTCTTCAAGCAACCTGTCCAGCAGCTCTACGATGTCAGTCTCGTAGTCACTCTTATGTCTCATGCTACCATTATTAGTCATATTGATTCGGGCAAGTCAAGCTCTGAAAGGTTTGCATTGTTCACTACTAGCGACTTCTTACTGATGCATAACAGTATTCGAAGTAGATACCTGTGAGGCTCAGCGCCTCTGTCTCTTGTGCCTCTCCCACATGCTGCGACCACCCTGTACACCTGCGCATGCAGTGTACCGCAGCTTTCCTCAGCCCACTGCACCCTCCCCCTGTTACCAAATTATGCACTCTCTTGCACTGATAGCATTAAGCTCCTCTCGACCTCTTGTCTTGAATCCTTATTTTGTTAATGACATTGAAACAGGTCAAATAGATTTCATGTGGTTAATTTTTTGTTCTCTATTCACATATGACAGGCAGAACAAAGTAATGGGCTCATTCACAGTGGTATGAATGGAGTGATGGGCCCAAGCAGATACTACCTCATATATGGCTGAACCGATGCTGCGGCGATATGGCGCCCGAGAGAGCCCATATCATGTCCACTGAATTGAGTAGGCCTGGACCTCGTACGTGCGGCGGATGGGTGGGCCTGTAGCACCACTTTCATGAAAACCGCTGGGCCCTGCTCATGATCTCGGAGCTCATAGGCTGGCCCCATAATATGACCACAGCCCCAAGGGCCCATATGCATTCCTCTGGGCATCTGCATGAGCCCAGGGAACTCACAATTGTATACCGTCTGGCCTACGCCCTGTAGGGCGGCAGGCAGGTGGACCCAATGACGTGAGATCAATCCAACAGGCCTACCCCCTCGCGTCGAAATATGCATATGGGCCCGTGGACCTACTGCCGGTGGCAGGATGTGGCCCAAGAGTGTCTTAAATCAGGGGTGGGCCCACATCACATCACACGAGCAGAATGGGCCCAGTCCTGGCTAACGGGATTAACAAGCAGGCCCAGTGGGGTTACACTCAAAGCAGCATAGTTCAGATGTAGATGTCAATGAAAATGTCAATTTCGATGCAGACGATGATCACAATATCCCAATAGACCTTCTGGCAATGATCAAATACCCTGGACATTCACGTCCAATCACGAATTACTTCAGAATCGCCAAGTTCCTCCAGTACAGGGAAATTGGGACGGTCCCTATGCCACTGCGTTTGTTTGTTGTCGAACACACAGGATTTCACTTCGCTTATGACCCCTCCATTAGAAATATATCTGTTGATGATGCTGCCATCAAGTTTGACCTTGCTGACTTACGACCAGCCATTGCCAATTTTCTTTGTTGTGAGGATACTCATGGGAGAGATCATGTCCATACTATTGGGGGGGCTAGAAGAGCTGGACCCGCTGCTTCACTTCCCTTTGACACACTACAGGTCTGGTTTAAACTTTGGCTGCAGGACACTGAATTCCACAACATTAGCATCATACGGCCTGTGCAAACCTTCAACTGTGCATCCCCTTCTGATCCCTGGACCTCTGGCTGGTATGATATGGTTATCATTAACAATGATGCGGGATGCTTATGGCCCACAAGTGGTCTTCATGGTACATTATGCTCTCATGTCGCACTGAATATTTACTTATTGTCAAGTCACAGGTCATACTATCAGTCAAATCAGGGATATCATGTGTCCTATTGGAAAGAGTGGCACGAATTGGTCATGGAAGGACTGTTTTCTGGTATATGTGCATCACTTTGACATTGTTCCTCAAAGCTCCAGCACCAATGATTGTGAGCCAAGTACGCAGCTCCACTTTCTCAAATGAGCGAAGCGCTCAAATGGTACTTGGGTGACATCATACCCATGACACAGCTTAGATCACCTGTGAACCTTGTCCCTCGCTTCGGTGCAAGTGCGGACAACCGTCTCACCCCGTATAACAGCATGGAGCATGCTTCACAATTTTGGCTCAAAAAGTATTGGGACAAGAACACGTATCTTCCTCTTTCTATGTAGCTTTTGATGTGGGGTTACCTTGTTTCTTACAACTTTCATACTATGCAACAAACAGATTGGTTGAGCGGTCTAGCCTTTGGTTATTCTAGTCTGTTTTATTCTTAGATCACTAGTTCTAAGAATTCTGTCACTATGTGGCAATAAGCTCGAGCGCCTATTGTTTGTCCATTGTTCAAGTACAAAAAATGGCATTCTTTTCAGGACCATTGACAACGGAATCAAATTATTGTCGTTGGTGTCTATCCCAGAAGTCATCGACATTCACACTATGAACAAGATCACGTCCAACGAGCTTAATTGTCTAGTCACTCACGAGGGTTCACCAGAGGCCTCACAACTGCTTGGACACCTACTTTCTGAAATATTCCAGCCTTTCACAGAACCTCTTCTGGATGTATGCGACCTTAAAATACCTTTCGGAAAAATTATTCATTGTAACAATCACATCAATCAAAAATTTAGCAAGACATCACCAGATATCCCCATGCCACTGTATGACACTGAAGCAAAGACTTGGAATTGGGCTCTTCCAGTTGACCCACCTGGAGATGATGATAGCAGCCTTCCGAGTCAGGTCAAGTCATCGGAGAGCAACAATCCACAGGAAGCAACCCACAAAGAAATTTTTGCAGCATTTCTCAATGCTCTGGTTGGCTGCTTGGCGGTGTCACAGCCCAAACTAGTAGCCATGCACTTTGCAACTAGCTCATGGAGTCTTGATGTATGATCACTCTGGTGGTGCTGTGTCCCCTCGCTTCTATATCTACACACAACCTGACATATTATTGCATATCATCGCAGCTATTACTTTTGGGAGTCTGGAGTGTGTTGGCTATGATCCCACTGTTTCCTTCTCGAGGACTGTTGCAGCACCCCGAAGCAAAGATATCTGCATCTATTGTCCCATCAAAAATGCTTCTGCCCGATGTACTACGACAGATAATGCTGTTGCTGTATCCACCTCCAATTCTCTTTTATTTCCCGAGGATCCCAATGGAGTGTCCAGCGATGCTCTTAAATAGGCAATCTCCGATAACTCTGATGAGTCTTCTAATGACTCTACTCATGACTCAATGCAAGGGAATTCAAGTGGCCCTCCCACACATGACTTGATGGATGAAGGGTACTTCCCTGCCCCTCCTCCCCCCCAGTGCACCCCACTGCAACCCACAGCGCTCCCCTTGTTAGCCTCGCATCCCAAGTACCCCAGGCTGAGATGACTGAGAGCATCTATTCCGTTACCCCTCTCCCTTCCCAATTCCCCTATTCTACTCAATCACCTGAACCCTGTGGCAAGATCTGCATAGGGCAGACAATCTACACCATAGAGAGAATTTTTTTTGCGAGATGGGGCCTCGTTGGTCGTGGCACCGTTTGCTACTTAGTCACCTTGGACGATGAAGACTATATCATCAAAGATCATTGGGTTGTGGGTAAGGATGATCGGGTAGTCCTGAACGAGATTAAGATGCTCGAGTTGATGGATGGTGTCCCTGGTGTTCCAAAGCTGGTAGATTATTGGATTGTTGAACAGTCAGATGGCACACCCAAGCACCCAGGGCACTAGTCACACTCATGTGTGTCTTGTCTTGAAGCCATGTGGTCACCCCCTTCACATGTTCCGAACACTTAAGGAGTTTGTGCAAGCACTAAGAGATATTGTTAAGAGTAAGTACTATCTAGTAATTCATAGGGCATCTTGAACTGATGCTTTCTAATGTTAGTTCAACAAACTGCAGTGGAGGAACATCAGATTTTGCATCAGAATTGTAGTCTTAACAACGCGATGATCCTAAACGACATTGGTGGCAGCAAAGGCTTTCTTATTGACTGGGAGTTTGCGGTTCGCATCGCTGCAGATCACAAATATCCCCTTGGTGGTACAGTAAGTACACTTAGTGTTGATTAGACATTCAGTTTATTGATTCATTTGCCAGGGCACAGTCGCTTTCATATCATGCGGGTTTCTTAACCAAGTCTCAGTCATCCAGCAGGAAGCCAAGTTAAAATCTCAGGAGAAAAAAGCGACTCAGGGACACAAATCAGTCGAAAAACCGACAACCCCGAAATCGTCCTCTGATTCTAAAGCACTACCTGTATCATACGTCCTTCAAACTTTTTTGGATGACCTGGAGTCCCTTTTTGTTGTGTTCACGTGGGTTTGCATCAAGTTCTGTGGTCCCAACGGCATGGTGCGCAAGGAATGATCACCCAATTTGTTACTAAATCAATGGACCAACCTTGACCTGGCATCATGCACTGCCTTCAAGATCACTTTTTTTGCGAATCCGACAGATGGAAAGCGTCTTATAGACAAATTTCACCCATACTTCAACCTCCTGATCATGATCCACCCCGTCACCTTCGACATCATTCTTGGTGTACTCAATTCTTATCTCGACAAGGAGCTCATATCTACTGTGAACATGCTCAGGAATGATGCTGTCATTCTCACACATCATGTCAAGGGCAAACAGATTGCTTCAGAGTCTTTCTCTGTGGCAGCCACAACACCCAAGCGGCAAAAGTCTCGCCATGGTGATACCGAGTCCGACTCCTCAGCATCAGGCAGTGATGCATGACCAGACATGGAGCTTGTATGTATGAAAGATCGTTTAATTTGGGCACCCACTCATTATGCATATTCAGCTGTTATTCTTCTTTATTGATGTATGGATAGCATGCCACTTGACTTTAGTATTTTTAGAACCTCATTGATCATCTACTATTGCCAGTGACTCGGAGATTTGGGCAAGATGTGCTTACAACACTTACTTACCAGCACCTCATTTATTCCTACTAATATATTGTTCTCTCAAGCTCACAATCAATCTATTACTAGTCTCTGTGCCGGATTACTACTATGTGACGTCCAGACATGATTACATAAGATTTTGACTCATGTGATTGGCAATCTGAGTCTGGCACTTACTAGAGTACTACTACTAACTGACGTGTTTTTCTGGTACATTTTCTAGCGGACCACAGGCTGGACTCGGACATTAAAAATGTGCAGTTCTCCTCCTCCAATGATGACCCGACAGCTGCACATCAGCTCAGGTCAAGGTGTGTTTCTTTAGCACTGTTACTGTTACTAATAATGAGGTTTTTCTCGCTAGTCATGCGAATATTGAGCACGAGACATGATATTAAATCCTCGTGATGACTTAGGTGTGTTTCCTTATTACCATTGGCCTTATGAATGATAAAGTTTTCTCTTGCTAGCCATGTGAATATCACGCAGTACGCACATGATATAAAACCCTTGTGAGTCTGATCTAATTTGTTAGAGTCGCCTTCTCCTGCGTTCTTTCTTGCAGTCATGCCTCCTCGCACTGTTACCAGTCCCAAGAAGAAAAGGTCCAAGCGCAAAGGATCTGAAGCTTCAAAGGCTGGCTTGCCCAAGAAGACTCAAGCTGCAGATGTTGCTGAAGTACCTGGTGTGGTACCTCTTGTATCCCTTGACCTCACTGCAGCAGAAGTGGGAGACAATGCACCCCGGCGTTCTGGCCACCCTAATGCAGGAACTGGAGGTAGGAACGTGCAGCTGAAGAAGATCGGATCAGCACTACAATCTAAGCCTCAAACCTATGGACGTAAGGGCACGACATCTCTTGGCCCTGACATTCCAGTCAATTCTCAAGCCCCAGAACCGCATTGTAAAGGTTAAAAGAAGTCTTCAAAGGTAAGCATCTAATTCATGTTGTTACTTACATTGATTATCCTGCAGGAGGTTCCTCCACCGTATAGCTCACATGATCTAGATAGCCATCCAGATGTCCCAGCCATGGATATCATTCACACAGGGCCCAGCTTTACATTGCAGCAACCTGGTGGAAGGTTCGGATTTGCTGCTCCAAGCACTACAGAAATCGCTCATTCTGATACTACCGAGCTCAATCTTCAGGCATTGAATGACCCATATGTCGCCATTAGGACAAAGGTCGTTGAGCAGCATGTTCCTGATGCTATCGCTGAGCAGAGAGCTAGGGACACAATCACTGAGCAGCGAGCTAGGGACGCAATCACTGAGCAGTGAGCTAGGGATGCAATCGCGGAGCAGCGAGCCAGGGATGCTATCGCTGAACAGCACGCCCAGAATGTTGTCCCTGAAAATCCGGTATTGCTAAGGTCTGTGTTTTCAGAGCAGAACTTGGATCCAGCCCTACACCAGGAGGATGATGCTGTTAGGGCTCAGTATTGTTTGAGGCTGCTAGGATCTGAGGAGCACAGTGACTCTAAAGGCAGTAGCAGCAGTGATGATAGCGATGACAGCGACAATGAAGATGCCGATGAAGATGAAGAGGACAATGGAAAGGACGCAGAGGAGGGCAATAACAACAACACAGTTAAGGACTCACAGGATTTTGGTTGGGGGGAGGTTGGCCAACACCAGAAAGAACATCCAGGTAAATATTCCATAGCGATTTTTTCCCCTTCACTAATTCAATTTTGTAGGATTTTTAGAAGATGCACTACCTTCGCAACCTGCAGTCGCTCATGCTCTCACACCTGAATTTGAATTCCAGTACTCGCGCGATGAAGATGATGTGATTGCCCAAATGAGCCTTGATAAAACCTCAGTAAGTTTTCTAGTCTGGCTGAGACCAATTCTCATTTTAAATTGTTTGTTCAATGGAACAAAAGCTCTAAGGTATGATCCAATCATTCAATTGTATCATGCTTACATTGCTTTTCTTTCAAGGGCCCTCCGGACAGCTCACCAGGACTGCAAGGGCAATGGTCCCAACACATGGAGGTAAGATCAGGGAGATCATCTTAATTGACACTCATGATTGAGCAGACCATTACCTCGAAGCCCAACAACGTATTGCAATGCCACCATAAGAAAAATGGAAAGCCCCGCCTTCCTGAGCCTGAATCCCTCAAACTATTGGATCAAGTAACCAAGTCTAGTGTTCAGCCATCAAAAAACAAAAAATCCAGGTCATCACATGGTGGGCCAACACCCAATCAATTATCTTGGTACAGGCCGCACTGGAAAAGTTTTCTGGAGGATGCCAAAGCAGAATTTTGTGTGCAACACGCCCTGGAGAACCCGTTTCCAACTTTGGTGAAGAATCTACCAGGAACAATAACTGAAGTTCTTGTTGCAGTGTTAGTCATGTGGGATACAAATGGCAAACAATTTGAAGCTGGCAAGTACTCATTTGTTCTTATTCGTTCTGGAACTCATCTGTCATATTGTGATGCAGGGGTTTGGCCAGGGCAAAAATTCAATATGACTCTGTTGGTAGGTGTATAATTCATTTTGTGCTGATACCTCACTGATGGTCCATACTGAAAGCTGTACGACGATCTTTCAACTTGGCGATCTGACTTGAAGAAGACTGCCATAAGCACTGTACCAGTATCATATTCGCTTGTTCCTCCGCTTTCAGTCCCCGTTCAAGAACGTGCTGCTTGGATCAAACATGTTGCAGCTGAATTAATCAAAGGATCATTTTTCTTACGGTTTGGGGTGGATGAACAGGTAAGTGATCTGGTGCTGATGGCAATTGTACTCGTGATCTAGTACCATCTGCCATAGTCATGTGATTCAATATGATTTTTATTTTAAATTTTGTCCAGTGTAATGTAAGCAGTACAGCGAGCAATGTCTGTACAGCTCCGATTCTCTGTATGCGCTGTGAGTGTCTGTACATAGATGGCCAGCAAAAAAAATTGCAATTTAGGTAGAATTTTGTAATTACTGTGTGGTCTGTGGGTGTCTGTACAGAGATCCACAGTGCAAAGTGTTACTGTGATGAACTGACTAATTGGGACCAAGCTGTAGAGCTTGCACACTGTGCAGCACTGTACAGCACTGTACACACCTATTACTCCCACACTTCCTAGCTAAGTAAGAGTTACATCAACATGTTTCCACGCTCTTGATAATGTCGAAACAGCCAATTTGTGAGAACCGGCAGGGCACACCAGCAACCAGCTACCACTTTAATACACTGTAAGGTATATTTCTTTGTTTGTGAGCACCAGTGGGGCACCCCAAAAACCAGCTCAACACTTATAAGGTAATACATTTGTTTGTGAGCACTGGCAGGGCACCCCAGCAACTACCAATATAGTAGGAATGTCGACGATGCACGTGCCCCATTGCCACTGTCCCAAAAAGGCAGCTATGCAGCGGCAACACTTTGTCGGTGTCATGTCAGGCAGCGAGCTTGCTATCTCACTCATTTCTATGTATTTTTAGGTGTGTTTTAACATATATGTAGCGTATGTTGATTGATTTCCAGTCATCCCACCAAATATAGACAAAAAAACATTGATTTAAGATAATATCAAACATAAAAGACAAACTATGTGTCAGTGTGATCATTCTCATTCTCGGAATCAACATAGGCAGTACTCTTGGGTCCAGAAGCCTTCTTCCCAGCTCTTCCTCATTTGCTCTTCTTTCCCTTTTGGCCTCCATTATCCATCTCCGCTGCCAGTGCCTTAACTGAGGGTTTTTTCAAATGCTTGGACCTCGGTTCCTCGAGAGTTGCTGGTGCACACTGCTTGCGTTTTGTGACAGCAGTTAGTGCTGATGTGTCTTGAACACCAGAGGGGTCACTGAGAGATGCCGAATGGATAGTCGAGGTGAGAGTGAGATTGGGGGTAGGAAAGATGAGCTCTGGTGTAGGGTTGATGAGGTTGGGTGTAGGGACATCGTTCAGGAGATGTGGATCAATGTGCGTGTCGGGAATTTGCATTGATGGCACATTGCTAGTGGCAGGCGGCAGTGTAGCAGGCATGGGTGGGGTGCTGTTGGCCGTAGGCGGTTGCAAACTGTTGGTGTCATTAGCAACAGGTGGTGGTGTGCTAGTGGTGGACTCAGCCAAGGTGAATCTAATCACATTATGTTATGCTCGGCGTTGTTCAGATGTCTTAACGTTTCAAGGATCGAAGTAAAGTCAATGTTCTGATGAAGATGAAGCTAGATTGCAGGCCCTGGTCTGCGTAGGTCAAGTTAAAGATACAAAGCGTAAAGAGTAAGGTATATATAGGAGTATTGAAGCGGAGTTTGAATATGAATAGCAAATAGGAACAAGAGAAAGAGAATCATACAATAGAATGTAATAGAATACTATGGAATGATGAGTAAGCATATGTGACAGCGTGAGGAGGTGAAAAGAATAGAACTGTAACATTACCCACATTTTAAGGGTAGTAAGCCCAGATTACTACAAACGTTAAAGATGATGTGATCATTTATAAAAAGAAAGAATGTCTGAAGTGTTACCCAATTGTTTTTCCGTCAACCACATGCTATCCAAACTAGGAAATCCCTTCCATGGTAAGATCGTCTGGACGATGAGCTGTGATGACCAATGATGGTTTCTACCTCGTATTCTTCTTCTCTGTCAATGATATCAGGTGGTTCGTTAATAAAGTTAGGACTGTGTACGTCGTTTTCTTTATAGGGTGAGAGTAGGGCTGCATGGAACATGGGATGAATATGTCACTGAGAGGGAAGTTTTAATTTATACGTGATGGGCGAGAGGACTTGGAGGATGGTAAATGGTCCTTTGCATTTCGGGGCAAGTTTCCAATTAGGATATCCGAGATGAAGGTTTTGGCTTCGAGCCAGACCTTGCTGCCTACAGAGAATGGTACGAATTTGGACGTGATTCGTTGACGCATAGTGTTACAAACGAGTTCGTGAGCAGCTAGCACTTCGTTGTGTGCTTTGTTCAGCATAAGTAGATGTTGTTCAATATTAGGGATGTCGGATATAGGATGTGAATCGGGAAGGTGTTTTGGGTGATAGCCCATCATAAGGTAGAATGGGGAAGTGCCACATGCAGAGTGATGTTGTGCATTATGGACGAATTCAGCAAGAGGAAGCATGGCGGCCCATCCGGTCTGGTCATTGGCACAGAAGATGCAAAGGTAAACTTTGAGTTCTTGGTTAACTTGTTCAGTTTCTCCATCACTCTGGGGGTGGAAGGCAGTGGAAAGGGAGTTCTTATATCCTAGGAGTTTTCCGAGTTTGAGTTGGAATCTGGAAGTGAATTGGGGTCTGTGATCTGATATGAGTTTATTGTAAAGTCCGTATCTAGAGAAAACTTTAGAAAAGAAAATGTTCACGACTCCTTCTGAGTCGATTGTCTTGAGGCAAGGGGTGAATACTACCCCTCTCGAAAGTCCATGGTCAACCACGACCATAATAGAGTCGAATCCGTCAGATAAGGGTAAGTCGGTGATCAGGTCAACTGAACAATGAGCGAAGGGTCAATTAGATATAGGAGGGGGAATAGGAGCGAGAGATGGATGTGAAGGATGAGTGTTTACTTTGTTCTGCTGGCATATGCTGCATCCTTCAACATAGTTCTTGACAAAGGTCGCGAGACCTGGCCACCAATAGTTGCGAGATAGGAGTTCCTGGGTTTTGAAACGTCCAGGGTGTCTGGCGGTGGGAGAGTCGTGATGGAGGGAAACAAGTTTGTGGCGGATATCGCCTGGGGGTACATAAGTAAGCTCTTTATATAAGAGAATGCCGTCACTCAATTTCCAATCGGAAAGAGCCGAGCGGAGTGGAGGCGGGGTTTCCTTCATCAATGCCTTTGAGTCATCACCCATCCATTGCCGGAAACCACGCTTGTCAGGAAAGTGTCGCAACCCAGCGAATGGGGCGACTGCTGCTATCCTGTGTGTTGTTAGTAGTTATTAGAAAAACATCAACAGTTTGCATACCTGCAGTCAATGTCATCTATGATCTCGGCCGCATGACGAGCACCATGTGTGACCTGCAAATATTCACCCACCCAATCAACCAGATGATCCTTGAAAGTTCCCTTTATGATTTGATGTAAAATATCCGGCGATAGGAGCTCGTGGATGTCTGCTCAAGGAAAATCATTTGTAAATGGCTAGCAAAGCGGACAGGAGAGATTGGACTTGGTGAGCTTCAGCAAACAACTTATGACGACATTAGCAATGATGCCATGCTCATACCAAGCCTGTTTGTATGTTAATTGTTCGACAAGCAACTCGGTGTGTGCTTCGTGTCGATGCAGACATGGTTGAGTGCTGTCAAGATCCTTCCTATTTGCCAGACACCTATTGTAATAAAATGAGTCATTGAAAAGAGAAATAAAAGTTTGTGACATACCGAGGACACCAATTCTGCACGATGCCAGAGAGAATTAACTGTTCTGGATAGTCGGCAATGTATGGGCCCAAGCTGTGCACGGTTCGTCGAAAATGGCCATCCAGAAAGCATGTGACATCAAAAGTTTCCATAAAGGGTTTCACAGACTCGAAAGTCTTGGCAAGGGAACGCTGGAATAGTTGCCGTCGAAAATTTCTGTACTTGACATCATCGTTATGTTCCTTCGTGGCTAAACAAATGAAGGTCATGATGCAATGCTGCAATGAGAATAACAAGCACCTACATTTCGGTATTGAAAGAAATCCAATGAGCACAACGCTATTGCGATGTGCTCGTCATACGCTATTGTGAATGTTCCCAATTGAGAGATAAAGCGGGTGATATTCAGTTTGGCCAGTAGCGACAGAAACGACAGTCTTGTTGCTGCCGATAATCAATGGCACGAATGTTGAACCATGATTCTCCTCATTTTGAGCGATAACATCCTTGAGATGATTGTCAGTGTGCTAAAAATGTGAATATTAAAAGGCATACCGCCTGGTTCCACACCAAGTCAGCCGACATGAAGTTCTTCCAGTATCATTTGTCCTCAGCGGTATAATCGTGATATGGTGAAAACTCGATTCCTCCATCAAAGTCAGAGTTTGCTAGCATGCTGTGCACCATTTGCAATGGATCTCTATACCATACATCATATTGTGCCATCCATGGTGGTACATCTTGTTTGGGTCTGACTCCATTGTAGGACATCGTAAAGCTTTTCCAAGGGGTATCACTAAGTGGTGTTGCATCGATGGTAGCATACATGTCCCTATGGTTTGCAAAAGGGGGAGTGTCATTGTGCTTAATGAGAATTGTGGCCCACAAGTCGAGAAGTGTATCAATCTGCTTTGCAGACATTTGATTACGCATGAATAAGAACTCTGCCGTCTCAAATTCAGCTTGATCGTTATAAGGTGTCCAGTCGGTCGGGGGAGCATCCATATGAGGCAGTGGGTGTGCATCCTGGTCGATAAATGACCCGTTAGCATCACATTTGAGTCCTAAGTCAAAAGAAATGAGTGACATAGTATGACGGACTCCTAAAAAACACTCACCTGTGAGGTGTGGATGGAATGTGTGGAATAAATGCCCCATATCCACCCAAGTACCTTCCTCAGGTACAAAGCCTCCATCCTCCTGCTCACCCGCTGCATCTTGATGGAAATTCTCGTTGATAACCTGATTTTCACCTGTTGGAGTGGGAGAATGACTTCTCGGAGGTATAAATCTGGGACCTGCAAGTGGAGTTGTGTGATTGAGGTCTCGCTGTATTTGTTGAGCACTATGCTTCGTATTTGTGTGTTGGGTGAGGCCAGACTTGTTTTTGAAGACCCTGTTGCAGTTCGGAAATCAACAGACGAGCCTGGTGACAGCTGGGGCCATGGTGAGCGGTGAGCAGTCGCAGTTGGCAATGGATACCAGGAAATGGAGTATATAGAATGCAGATTAGACTAATACTAGCTAGTAAGTGTGTGAATCAAAAATTATGACATGTTCAATATTGAATGAATAAAAACTTGCTGGTTCATTGCCACTTTCTGCTAGTGTCTACATTCCTTCAACGCCTCACTGCCAATGTTCCTTCAACAGCTTGTCCTTGCTCTCTCTATTCTCTACATATGCCTCGGCCCGCAACATGCCCAGGGAATGCCAACAAACATCCCGGACAGGTAGTTCTTGATGCAAATTGTGTGGTGCGCCCATAGGAGGTAATTGCTGCTGAAAAAAAGAAGGTATCAGCAGAGAAATCAGCCAAGGTGACTGCCTTGGATAATGCCCAAAAGCAGGTCACTGCAAAGGAAGATGCCATGGCTGTCGAGCAGATGGCTCAATGTGCTGGCCCTGGACCCCTTGTCAGAGCAAAGCCTAAGCTGCACCCAGCGACCAAGGCAGTCACAGCACCAACTGCAAACCTCAACAAGACGCATAAGCCTTACGAAATATATAATGTTGCAAGGACTTACCAATCCTATACCATTTGTACAGCTGTTGGGACAAGTCCAGCATCTCAAGACACCAACACCCAAAGGAAAAAATATCCAGGCTTGAAACTCACCTTCAAGGATGGTGTGAACGCCAGTCGAAAAGTGTCCAATAATGGTGTAGCATCCTTAAGTGAAACACGTGTTGGAAGCGCCATTGATGATGGGAAATTCCGGAAGTCGCTGTAAGTTTATCTTAACTGTGATGTTACTTCTATCAGAGCTGACTCTTTATTACTTTGATCTGTTCCACTCCCTACAATGTAGGGGATCTGAATCATCCAAGCTTGCAGAGGTAGCGGGAGTAGGGAAGTGGGCCAGAGGTGTGGTGTCCAAGTCCCAAGTGAAGCCTTCTGCGCCACCAAGTGCACATGCCAGCGGTAAGTACAGTCTGATTTTTGTGCACATCACTAATAAATTTTCAGTGATCGCACACAATTATGCAGAAGGATTCGAAGACGATGACCCACCTGAAGATCATGACGATAGCATACCTACGAGTTGGGGTGGGCTGGTGAGTGAATTCATGCTCGCGAATGGGAACTACTTGAATAAAGGCAGGGCGTTGTGCATATTTCTCAGACCACCGATGAACCGAGGGGACGAAAACGTGGATTATCCACGGCCTTGACAGACAACCTCGAACCCGAAGAGCAGCGTGAAATGGAGGAAGACCAAGATGCTGATGAAGATGTTCAGGAGGATGTCGACATGACGGATCAGCAGGGTGACATTGAGGTAAGTACTAGTGGTTCCTGTGAAATAGATGAATCACTTACCATGGTTCCGGAATTTCATAGGTCTGTGAAGTGTCAAACAGTCGGCTCACAACCTCTGTCGGCAGAATCTACTCTGGTAGCTTCAGTACTGACAAATTCCTTTGCAGATGTCAGTTAGTGTTATGGAGATCGCAACAGACGACCAGACACCTAAGTCACATAATTCAGTACTTTATTTCCGACTTAGATGGACAGCCAAAGGTTGAGAATCTCTCCAGTTAGACGGGCCATCCTAGGTGGGCCCATATGCAGATAGGGCGGGTGGGCCAGCCATGAAGGCAATCTTCGGTGGTGACGGGTGGGCCAACATCATATAGTAATTATGAATTATTTGTAGGCTGGGGTAATAGTCAATAGACCAGTGAGCCAGCTATGGAAGGACCAGGAAGCATGTGTTAATACATTTGGGCCAGGATGTGTGCTGCTGGGGCACCGGCTGGGCCCAAAAGTAATCTTGGACAGGGAATGACAGTCTGTCATACCCGGTACAGGTGGATGGGCCCAGAACATAACCTCGTTGGGCAGGCTGTTGTACTGGGTACTGGCGGATGGGCCCAGATATGGACCCAACCATTCCTAGGTCCCCCATCTATAATGGTTGGGCTGTCGTATCCAAGACCGGCGGATGGGCCCAGAACATAACCTCGTCGGGCAGGCTGTTGTACCAGGTACAGGCGGACGGGCCCAGATATGGACCCAACCATTCCTAGGTCCTCATCTATGATGGTTGGGCTGTCGTATCCGAGACTGGCGGATGGGCCCAGAGCACAACCTCATTGGGCAGGCTGTTGTACTGGGTACTGGTGGATGGACCCAGATATGGACCCAACCATTCCTAGGTCCTCAGTTGGGCTGTCATATCTGAGACCGGCAGATGGGCCCAGAACATAACCTCGTTGGGCAGGCTGTTGTACCAGGTACTGGTTGATGGGCCCAGATATGGACCCGACTAATACATAGGTCCTCATTGACGATGGTTGGGCTGTCGTATCCGATACCGGCGGATGGGCCCAGAATTTAACCTAGTCGGGCAGGGTGTTGTACCAGGTACTGGCGGATGGGCCCAGATGTGGACCCGACTAATACCTAGTTGGGCCATCGTACCCGAGACCGGTGGATAGGAAGGCTGTCGTACCAGGTACTAGCGGATGGGCCCAGATGTGGACCCAACTAATACCTAGGTCCTCATCGACGATGTCGTACCCGAGGCCGGCGGATGGGAAGGCTGTTGTACCGGGTACTGGCGGATGGGCCCAGATGTGGACCCGACTAATACCTAGGTCCTCATCGATGATGTTGTACCCAAGACCGGAAGGCTGTTGTACCGGGTACTGGCGGATGGGCCCAGATGTGGACCCGATCAATACCAAGGTCCTCATCTATGATTTGGGCCGTCGTACCTGAGACCGGCGGATGTGGGCCCAACCAATATCTAGGTCGTCTATGATGGTTAGGCCGTCATACCCGAGACAGGCGGATGAGCAGGCTGTTGTACCCGGCAATGGCGTACTGGCGGATGGGCCCAGATGTGGACCTGACAATCCCCAAGGGTCCTCACCTATGATGGGCGGGCCTTTGTATCCGAGACTGGCTGACAGGCACGAGCTCCATTAATGATAGGTAGGCTCATAAATGTGAGTTATGGCACTGCAGCCGGTACAACATGGCTTTGTATTGGACTTGCATGAGCAGTCGGTTGGTTCAGCTACCGAAGGTATACCACAAAATAGATCCAGGTATCATTCGGACACGATCAAAATCAATGTGTCCGATATGGCAGATAAGATGCGATTAAATCGGGCCGCCGAACAGGAGTAGCCAGACCGTCCGCGCTCTGAGCAGCCAGTGCAGAGTGACGATTTCCACTTCCACACCCGTCAAAGCCAACATATTCCATGGTTGTGCCCGCTGCGTACTGGTTGAGATACCCGGGTCTTCATCAACACCAGCCTCATGGAGCCACGTCGGGAGCTGGGTATTCGGGTGCTAGTGGTATTGATATGAAGTGACAATGACAATCATGTAAGAACTAAAGTATATTGCAAAAATGTGTGTGGGCGTCAGTACAGAAAGTATGAATGTGTTGTGACGGAACGGCGATTAGATGGAATGCTAAGTTATATTAGAGATGGGGTTGTGGAAGGGGCGGGAAGTACAGCAGAAGAATGCACAGAGGCACGTGATATTTCTTTCCCTAGTAGGTCTTCTCCGAGATTCTTTCCGTGTATTTATCTTCACCCAGATATGTTCACAGCTGTCTAGCGAGCTCTCAGCGGCATCTGATGAATGAATCCTCATGCTGGCCACCCCTTATTACTTACAGTCTTGGGTCATATAGTGTAGATGTTTGGTAGTTACTCCTAATTAACACAACATATGTAGTCGCAATGAATACTTTCCAGCAGGAGCTAAATCATCGATAATATCTCGAGTGCTGGATGAAAACGACATTGGACGCCATCATTGTGAATCGATCCGTCGGTAGTATATTCAAATTCATCTGGGTGTTGATGGACGGACTGGTTATTGATTATTACATACTATTGCATAGGACAACTACCGAACCACTCATGCATACAGTAACGTTATTCGCGGTCCACATGCTATCATTATCTCGGGTGTTTGTGGATGGATCATTACACACGAATGCATAGGACTCTTGTCGACCCACTCGTGTATACAATAATGTTACTCCTGATCCACATTTGTCCATCCACAAGCCACAAGTCCACAGCAATACCCACAACCGGATCTACAGAAATCCAGACTTGTCGAAATTTCCTAAAGTCAAGTTTATATCTACAGCATTCATTTCCCTCTGCACTACCGTCTATACAAAGACATCATGACCATACCCACACAAGCAGCTAACGACACATTGAACATCACCCTGGAGGTCATGCAATCGCTGATGAAGCGATGCATCAAGGTGAAGGAGGGCGATCCTGAGGCCTTCAGGTTATCGGATGATATTGCCAGGCGCGTGGTGAGTATTTGTTATGATAGTCCCCTTGAAATTCTCTCGGATAAACTAACACATCTGACACAGGCAAAAGACTTGAAATTATATGGTGGGAGTGCCACGTCATTTTCCCCGTGTCTGCTCTCTTTTGCTGCCATTGTGAGAGAGCACTCAATGGGTGGCGCCTTTGAGAGTGTCCCTGACTGGACCACTGTTACCGACGACGACCCACGGATCAAGAACCACCCGCGGTTTGAGAAGACCCTGGACTACCGTCCACCCTCTGCACTTGATGTTCCTGCAATCGCGACATCAAGCGCAATTCCCACTGTCGCACCCACAACAACAGCTCCCATCATCCCACTATTGATGCCCTCGGCTTCACCGCCCATGCCATCCCGCGAGGACTTGGATCTCGTCACTCAGTCAGTAGCAAAACCGACAGGATCTTCGCGGTTGCGAGCGCACAAGAGAAAGGCGGACGATGAAGACGCCGATGGGGTGGTTGCCAAAAAGAGCAGGAAGTCGAAGTCAAATGTCGACAAAGGGCCCACCGGAGTATTGTATGTCGAACCAAAGGTACATCCGCTAATATGAGTTTATCCTTCAAATAGCTTACTGCTCCGGACATTACAGCCTGTCACTGATGACAAAGATGTTCCGCCAGCCACAGACAAGGGTTGCCGAGATGCAGAAACTCAGGTATGTGATTCTCACTTCAGCTTAGCATTGATGCTGACCCATTTCCAAGGCTGCAGAATGGGGCTTGGATGCTCATATCGCTACTCCACGGCAGGTAAGTTGTGTTGTGCATCATTATAAAGACAAGCTAACAAATTTGAAGCATTCCGTTCATCACCACACCCGACAGTGCGACAAATGCACTAAATTAAACATACCCTGCCTTGTCCTCCCCGACAAGAAATTCGGATACTTGCGCCTCGCCTGCGCAAATTGCGATAGCATGAAAATCACTTGCGCAATCGACAGTGTTGGTGTCCGGCAGCGGTTGCAAGCGGCGAAACAATCCTCCGACCCTGCCAACCATCCCAAGACATCCAAGTCCCGAGTTGTCTCAAAAACACTCGTCAGACGTCCTTCCCACTCTGAACAGAGAATCGTCCAATGCAAAGGTGCGTTTTCCCCTTTGCTCGTAACCGCTGGAGCTCATATAGATTCGGCAGATGCAGAGAAAAAGTTCAAGGAGGTCCTGCCGGCAGGGGCTCAAATGCAGTCAGAACACGGGCGGTCGCCTGGGCCCACCAACCTGCTCACATCCGAGCCCACAGCAAGGCAGATCCTACAGGGTATCCAGGATATCAGCAGGAGATTGGATCTCCTGGCCCCCAATGAGCGGGTGGACGCGTTGGAGGTAAAGGTGGGTTCCGTGGAGACCAACCTGCAGAAGCGGTTGGATGAGTTAGAGCAACGGCTTGACACATCTGATGCCAGGTGGAAATCGATGGCATCCCTTGGATAGATATGATTTTTGATGACGACGTTAGAGACTCAGTAAATACATAGACTGTATGCGATAAGAACAGTCCGGCATGGACTGCAGATGCTCTGGAGAATGTGTAATATTATATATATTGAACTGTCGGCGGAAATATATTTTTGAATGTCGCGGGTTTGACAAATGCGCCTGATGATGGTCTGCGTTGACACAGATCGGGAGGCAGGTCTCCATCCATACAGGGCATCCTTCTCACATGGAGACCTTTGTCAAATCTTACGGTATAATGGTATTGCTTCATGGTTACTAAAAGTTGGTATCTGAGCATGCCTAAATTGGATTCACATAAGGTTCTTCTGGCCAGTGCATCGGAGCTCCAGTCAATTAAGGCGTGAGCTGCGAACACCACAACCAAATAGTGTTGGATACCACACCTTCAATGAGAATACTGGTGGTTGTACGAATGATCACGATATTGGCGGGATGAATCTCCGGATATCCGGTACCATGTCACATCATGCATGAAGAGTGCATCTGGAAGTGAATTTATGGACTAATGTACCAGCAGGATATAAAGGCGGTGCATAAGATGTACATGCATATAGGCGATCACCGGCTATTATGCCCGTTTTCCAGAAAGGCGTCACCATGCGGTTCCATACTCACTCGGCACATCGAAAACCTACCAGCTGGTCCGATCTGCGCAATGGATTTTAGGTACTGGGTGGGTCCAACATAACCGGTTGGGCCGAAACCTTATTAACTGGGTGTGTCCGTGTGGCATATTATGTATAACTACGGACTTGCATTCAGCCATCTTCCGGAGACTGTGCACTTGTCAAATAATCATCCACGGACGCAGGTGCAATCCCACTCTTTTGCGGGGAACCCGGATGTTTCTCACATTGTTTGCTGCATCCCACCGGGACCTGCAGAAGCAGCTGTAAGAGTTCCAATATGTTTCACTCACTCATAACACAAACACGATTCAGAGCGTCTGACGGCGCGCTATCCGGGAACATTTATATCAATTCGCGAACTCTCCATAGCACCAAAAAAAATCTTGGTGTATCCGCCATTATCGTCTAGGACTCTGGGGCCCAACAATCCAGATTACCCCCTAATGAGCCAAAATTCATCTCAGTAGTCATTTCACCATTCAGACTTCCACCTGGCAGCACGAATCTTGGTAAAATAATTTGGTGATGCTACCGATCTGACTGTGAACTTCTGCCTGGTACCTTGATTTTATTAAAGTGATGGAGCTGATCTTATAGCTGACCGTAGAAGTCCGGCCCGGTAGATGTAACATGCTCAACCAAGCAAAGCTCACGAAGAAAATAAATTTTGATACGAGATTGGGTTGCAGATGCAAGCCGTGCAAGTGTCAGAAACAACATATACTTCTCTGGTATGTATCTCCCGCAATATGGCAAGGCTACTACATTCTTAGGAGCTCTACTCAGCTCACACAATTCTCCGACCGTGCTGTAGAGCAACCATTTTCTCTCATAGAACTCAAAGTGCAAAACCTCAAAGACTACGTCGCCAAGTGGTTACAGTTCCAGTCGCTGTGGGATCTGGAGGCGGAACATGCCTTCAATCAATTAGGGGACTCCCTCGGGCATTGGCAGCAACTTCTGACTGAGATCAAGCAAACACGGGCAACATTTGACGCATGAGAAATGCAACAGAGTTTCGGCGTGAAGCTCGGAAATGTGATGCAACTTACAATGTCACATGAGCCGCACCGTCCGTTTGTTCAAAGGTAATATTAACAGAAAATGAACTACAACGTGCGGTACTGAACGAAATCTGCCTGATTGTATTCGGCTAGGTGATATATCGCAAAGTCTGCGAGATTGTATTTCGCATATTCTGTACGCGGGGTCCGAGCATAATTATGCACACTGTCGCGCATAAACCAAGCCCAAACGATCCTGTCGCCCTTGGCAACCTGTACGCTGTGCCTCACAAGCCGGCCGGAATAGCTAACCATAACACCCGGATCATAAGCTAGCTCGATGCCCAAGTTGGTCAATTGCATTACACCATGGCCATAGCCGCCTATGCAAGTAAGGATATCGAAACCTTCCGGGGGGCATTTCGGATCTCGATGGCTCGGCGACTGTCTGTTACACATTATTGCCGCGCCCGTATAGACGGATGTCCAGTGCTGAAGACACCTATACATGACATCCAGTGCTTGCGTAGCTGCCCAATTCCCAAGCTCTACATGGGTGGATAGCGATGCACGATATAACTGCGGGTGCATTACGCGAAGGGTGGCAGATGACACAAGGCCCGGACGTTGCATATCTCTGATGACCGAGAGGCTCCTGTCGCCCTTCAAGGTAGCAGAGACTTCCGGCACAAAACCAATTCCCGGGTTCACAGGTGGGGGCCCATGACGCTGTTTAATGTTAGACGAGTTCTCGGTACACAAAATTCAAACTGACCTCATGCCCCTGCTGAAACCAGAAAGGCGATATATTGATGCACCCGGGAGTTAACTGCGGCTCTTGGGCGGCATAGAAATTGGATGAGTGAGTCCTCCATTTACTCGACTGTCCCGTAGACGCCTTCCCGGTGGTGATGCTCTGCTTCAATAGGTTACCCATTCTGATTGTGGTGTTGTACATGTCACGCTGCCTCCTCCTGATCAGTATCGTAAAGTTCCAACATAATCCTGTACTGACCTGCAAAGACCAGTGTAGCGCACCCGGGAGGTACCAGAGAATTATCCAGTAACTGGAATCAATTACAACAGACGGGCGATCCAATACCAGGCGCTTAGCGGGGGGGAACTTTGCCAGTAAAGCTTCTTCGTGTGAATCATTTAGTCCCGACTCCCGTTTGGCCAATGCCTCGTTGTACCGGATAACATCAATGTCCAGTTTTACTGCAAACATTACCATCGGTTAACACCAAACATGCATGGTTCAACTTACTAGGATGTTGATACGCCTCTGCCAGCACCAAGGCCAACTGTCCACACACAACCATGGTTTCCGGATCAAGTTCGGGCGGCGCAGACACTAGCGGTCTTCCCGCGATATGAGCTGCAAATTGTTGCTCAACCCATTCACTTGCTATGTCGGATACATTTAGAGCCCAATCCCGGGGGATAAATGATGTTGGACGCCAGTCGAGGTCAAGGGCACCAAGCTGTTTGTGGTAGGATTCCCAGTACTCATGTGATACCATGATGCAAAGAGAAAGTCGCAGGCCATGTTCAAGACAACGTGCATCTTAAATGCAATTGGCCATCCGGCGGCCATCTTCATTGCATAAGAAAGCGGGCTGAAATGCAACTTTATGAACGTAATTGATCGAAACCATACATTTCTCATATAACCCGATGGGATCATGGTTGGCAGATTATTTACATAAGAATGAGAGACGCTACACTAAATATACGAATAGAGAAGCCGTTCCTCGACGACTGTACATAACATCAACGCGGAAGTGGTTCCAGATGGGGAAATGGTTCGACAGATGGAGATGCTCCTAGCCGGCCATTCTTGTAATCTGCTTGCAACACTGCAACTGCCACGTGGGAGGCCTCCATTGTCCTCATGAAGCTCATCCACAGGATCCTCCAGATGATTCAATGCAGCCACAGCCTCATCCTGTGGCATCCAGCTTAGCAACAAGGACTCAGCTCAATTCCATACCAAGTTGGGCGACTTGGGTCCGGAGGACGGCCAGCTGTTGCACGAGTGGGTCATCACAGCGAGTGTGAGTAATCGGTCTCGGCACCATACTGGCCATTTTAGGCTGATGAATGTAGAAAATAACGACATTATGTGAAGATATGATCATTTTAATTGGATGACTCATTGGGACACTTTTTTGACTTTGAGTTTAACTAATGTAATCTCTATAATTCTAGTACTTTGTGTGACCTCCTTCTGCCCCAATCACTTCTGCCACTCTTCTAGACATATTCTCTATCAATTTTGGGTATTCCTCTTTGGTATTTTCATCATACTCTGTTGTAACACTGTCTCATAGTTGGAATAGCCCCTATGGTGAATCTTGATATGCTACAAGCAATTTCTTGAGTGATTCTCAGGGGTATTCAATATGGTTGATGTCTTGCATCTATGCTGAACATGATAGAATAGTAATATCATGGTCTTTAAGTTATTTGGTAGCCAATCTAGAAGGTTGCTCTATAAGACTTAAGATCTCTTAATCACTATATTCTAATCGGAAAGGCCACTGATGCTAAAAAGGTGACTAAATTGATTATTTCCATCATCTCTATGACTATCTCTACTCAAATAGTCAGACAGACTCTTAAGACAGCCCACTTTGAAGCTATAATCAAGAGAAACAGATTCTTCTGTCTCCAACCTATAAACAGAAAAGACAAGATGCTACTTTCAAGTACAAATATTGGACTGCTAATAGCTGAAAGAGGTTTATCTAGTTATATAAGGTTAAAATCAATAGGATGAGATCATATGGCAAGGAATTTGTATTAAAATTGATAGCACAACCATTAAGATAAAGAAAAGTTGAATAAACACTTAAGTTTCAAGACGAAAACTTGATGGTATAGAACTATATGAGATAAAATGGAGTAGGAATTTTCTATGAAGTAAAGGGGAGGATGAATATAGAGTAGTAAACACTCATTTGACAGGAGTGTCTGCTAAGAAGCATGCAGGAGTTATGAGTTAATGAAGAGAATACTGTTTTGTGATAAGACAATGACCCTAAGTATACCTCTAAATTAGCCACCAATAGCTTGCAGACCATGATATTACTATTCTATCATGTTCAGCATAGATGCAAGACATCAACCATATTGAATACCCCTGAGAATCACTCAAGAAATTGCTTGTAGCATATCAAGATTCACCATAGGGGCTATTCCAACTATGAGACAGTGTTACAACAGAGTATGATGAAAATACCAAAGAGGAATACCCAAAATTGATAGAGAATATGTCTAGAAGAGTGGCAGAAGTGATTGGGGCAGAAGGAGGTCACACAAAGTACTAGAATTATAGAGATTACATTAGTTAAACTCAAAGTCAAAAAAGTGTCCCAATGAGTCATCCAATTAAAATGATCATATCTTCACATAATGTCGTTATTTTCCCACGATATAGGGAACCGAAATGAAGCTGAGAAGCAGACCTTTCCGACACCTCCCTATGGCTTAGTCATATTCCCACGGCTTGACACATGATATAGCAATTACATAAAAAGCTACAAACATTGGGACACTTTTTTGAGCCACTGTACGTGTTCAGGATACCAATGTCGTCATACTCTACAAACGATCACTCACCCGCTGAGTAAAGTGCTCGGCCACCAGCTCCTTCACTTGCGCAACTGACATCTGAAGAGGCATGTCAAATGACACAAGGTCAAACCGGTACCTCCACCAAGCGTGGCGATAGTTGGGGACCACCCGCTTAATGTCGATCGGATCCGTTGTCGACTCGTGTGGGCATGCCTTGAATGCGTTGAAGAGTCTCACGTGATCGTAGTACCACTCAGTCTGATAAGATGTAATGAGAAAGAGGATCTCATTCAGATATGCCGGCATGGTCGTGTTGATGTTCATGGCGGCACAAATGTTGACGAAGGGAAATACAAAGCACTACCAGTGCCTATCAGTAAATCTCCTGAGACGATTGCAAAAACTCACCTCCGCTTCCCAGATGATGTGTTTCACGAACATGTACTTATACGCGTTAGCGTGGTGATTCTTATCTTTTGCTAGTAGGATATGGATTACGGTGAATCTAGAAGTGGCGTATTCGAATATTTCGGCTGCATCCCAGATAGAGAATGTACTGGCAGCAGACTTATGGAGCATTTGGTAATTATCAGTCATGACGGGTGGCGGTGAAGTTGTAAATGAGGTCAACTTGGACAATGATGAATTATATAGTCGGAGCTTCAAAAGCATTATTGTGGTGATGGATGTGGCCACAAGCTTTTAAACAATACTCAAAGCCACATATCCCAAACAATGTCACCAGATGGATTGTCGCGGATGGTAGATGTCATATGCTCGGATATCAATAAATTGGCCGGAATGCTGGATTACCATTCACAGAGCTTGTTTTGGCATTTGAGGAATTCTTGGTACTTTGTGCCTGTCGAATTGTGTGACCAGTATGAGTTTTCCTCTTATGCCGCATAATGCCTTCATGAGAAGCCAATGGACCCTATAAACTGCTGTCTCTAAGAATGGGATCAGAACGTAACTCGGATGTTTATGTCAAGCAATCGGAACCACGGTAGAGTCCATTTCACTACCCACAGGAATTCTGGTCCGCCACAGCAGCAGTAGCCATCACATGGATCTTCTCCATCGGGAGATACTTCGACAATAGGTCATGAGCTCTCAGGTTTCCCAGACGTGTCCGACACTTTGGGGAAAGTATTCTGGTGAGACGGATGATGCTGTCAACAGGATGAACATGCGTCCATGCCCTCCCGTTCACCTGGCTTTGAGTTCTCCGGATGAGCGGTGCTTTGGAAAATCACAGTCTTGTCATCATTAAGCATTGTGATGGCTGGCAAGTTGCCATTGGCCAGCCTATTCCAGAGTTAAATGTCCTTACCGAGGAGGTGGTAGCCTAGCTCGGTCCACGCAACTGATGGACATCTGTGTCACGTCCATAACCATAATCATCAATGTTAAAGCCCTCCCGAGATGTGTTGCGGGCACAATGGTAAATTTATCCATCCAACTATGCAATTCCATCCGGGCATCTGCAAACATCCAAGGTTGGCCGTCCGCCCATCTGTCTAATCTCCATGGTGAATGCTATCTGCATCACTTCAATGGTAATCCGCATAGTACTACCGCGTAATGCATTCCTACCAAAACTGGCAGCCTGGGGTGATGATCATGTAGGCTCGTGCTGCTTCCGCATTAGTGCTACCGAAGCTGATTAGTGCAGTCCGGTGGATTGTGTAGGTAGCAGAGATGCACCCTTCCGTCACTTTACCTGGAATACATCCATGGTCAATGGATCTGTGACTCAGAGGTCACCGGTCCTGTTCTCTCCGTTACTTGAGCACTCCCCAATTGGTGGCCTCATTTAGTTTGTCAAACACAGCTACGCTTTTAGTCGCTCCCTCAACGGCTTGTTCATACTTCTGACACAGGAATTTATGCATATGATATCATTAGCAAGTATCCCACGGAGCAGGCACCCGTCCGAATGATCTACATAAAATTGGCATCATCCATCTGGTAATCAGGACACTCCTGCTGATGGGGTGGACATTCCCCTCGCCGATGGAGATATGATATTCAGAGGTGCTCACAATATCTCCGTCGATTCAAGCTTTCCATGATAGAGCTTGATGCATGCTTAACATGCACATGCCAGATGCCAATTCCTGGCAAGATAGCCATCCCGGAATGCATGCTGAAGTACGGGACCGCGGCGGCACGAAGCCGGCAATACTTCCTATATAAATATCTCACTTCCGGCGCCTGGATCTGGTATGGAGACAAGATCTTGTCAACATTGTTTGTAGGGCAATGCTTAGAGCTGCTACTGGGCCATTCTTCGCATGAGTCGAATATCTACTTCAGCATTCTTCTTGAAATTCAGCATTGTCTTACTATTGCTGATGACCCTCCTGAATGTTTAAGATAATGACATTCAGCGGTTCTATTATGTGTCGGTGAATGCAAAGCGTACAGTGGATTTGAACAAAACCTTCAGTGTTGAGTAACCCAATCTCACCCATACTCGCATGTTCCCAACAGCCTCCGGTTTGCCATGCATGCGGCTGCTCGAAGTGGGTCGCCCGGAAGTGGCATTTAGCATGAACATTTCAATGGTAAGTATTGTGCGGGCCAGAGACATATACAGGGGTGGATCCCAAAGTTGTTCAGCCTGCCGGAGGGCACGGTGTATCGACTGCCCTGCCTCCTCCAACTCATTGAGTTGGGACACTCCACTCCATGATGGTGAATGCGCTGTATCATTAGCGACACAACCAGCATATATCAGGAAGCATTCACATCTGGTAGATGATGTCAGGTCAATCACACCTGGTTAGGTCGACTTCACCTTGGGAACAGTCATTGGGGCGGGAGCTGTCATGTGATTGACAAGGCAAACAGCATGTGCGGAACGTAATCACACCCAGAAGGCTATGTGAGGTCGATAGTATTATATCTATACAAGAGAGTCTTCCTATTGTTATCATCATCAACACCGTCCCGCACGACATCGTAAGTGTCTCCCGTATCCGATGTTGAGGATACTGCTGGTATCCATCGAGTCGCCTATCCACAATCGCAAGGGTCTTCCAGTGTGGTTATGGGCACCGAACAGCCGTCTGTCCGACCGCATTCGCAGTCATATGGGATTCCCGGATCCGTGCTATTGGGAGCGGCTTTCGTGTTCGTCGATTCGTCCCATCCGCAATCGCAATGGCCGTTCTGTTATTCATTGCCAGGGTGATATCATTGCTGCTATAATGCTGATTAGTTCCATCCTGAGTTTCTTGCAAAGCACTCGCATTCATGCAGCCGTATATCTTCATTCACGAGGTTAGGCAATTCTATACAGCTGATGCCATTCTGCTCTGGGATATCAATGCCATGCAACACTCCCGAGTTCACACATCATTTGGCTGATGAAGCAGCCGTTGCTGCAATGCCATATTTGTGAACCATGTCAAGGGCAAAGATGTCTTCATGAAGTGGTTAAAATCTATCCTTGTGAAACCAGACGCAACTGCCAGCATACTTTTGAATTCGTCGAATTCTTTGTTGTTGCACAAATCATATCTTTGGATCCCAGGTTAGCTCAGCAAGATACGTCCAGTCAGCGATCAGTGCCTTGTTTGCCGATGGCTCAATCTTGGCTCAGCCACAAATCGAGCAATTGATATCCTGCGTGGGAGTTCTTAGCACGCTAGGATTAGAAGTGTGGCGGGCAGACTTACTTTTGAATCTCGGATAAGGTTACGCCCCGATCAGGCCCTCGAATCTGAGCATCTGTGATGGCTTGGGTGGAAGCTAAGATTCTAATGGTGTGTGTCATGCCACCAGGCAAGGTGACCATGCAATGCTCGGTGAACTGCATCCGAAGACTCTGTGGATGTTGAAGTGTTGAAGTTAAAAAACTGTCACAGCTGCTTTGGCAATTGTGACAACCATAAGAAGCAGCGATTGTGGCTGAATCACCTGGGATCTGAGCACTGCGGCTGTTGTGAAACAAACATGTTTGCCTACCATGATCGTTTTGTGTGAAATAAGGAAGTCTGGGAAGGCTTACCAATGGGCCAAGGCTGAATTGTAGGACCATCCGGCAGCGGCAACCGAATGTGTGGGACAATGATCGCCGAAGAAATTGTATTAGCATCATATTTGCCACATGTTGCCAAAATGGCCACAGTGTTCTCGGAAACACCCATAACCGACATATCGGTATAAATCCCGAGGCTCATTAAAAATCATCGAAGCGGTCTTTCTTTCTGTACATCATTGTCAGCTACTCATTACAGTTTGTATATACTGATAATGACACCATCGGAAGTTGCAAACGACGCCCTCAATGCTACGCTTGAGGCTGTACAAGCTCTGATGAAGCGTTGTATGAAATTAAAGGAAAGCGGCCCAGTCGCATTGACATTATCGGATGAGATCAGCTAGACGGGTGGTAAGCCTCGCTGTGTTAGATCTTTAATGTATTTTTGGACCACTAACTCAATTTGGTGCAGGCAAAAGATTTGAAGCTATATGGGGGGAGCGCCACATCATTCTCCCCTAAGCTGCTGTCTTGTGCAGCCGTAGTACGGCAGCACTCAAAAGCTGGGGCATTTGTATCATTGCCTGACTGGAACTTGGTGGTCGACAATGACCCACGCATTAACACCCACCCACGGTTCCACAAGACTGTTGACTATCGTCGTTCCCCCACCTCTCCCAATGCAGAACAAGAACCTAGTTCATCATCTTCCATAGTACCGGCGGAGCTGCATTCAGTGACAGAGACGCTGGAAGATGTGATCCCAGCTGGTACACCAGAACAGCCTGCCCAATCGAAGGCCCCGCATCCCGTCCAGTCGCCTTATACTGTCTCGGAGGTGCAACTGCCTGCATTGCTATCCCCTGCTGCGCCGGTTACAGAACCCATGGTAATCGGATATCCGAAGCACGGTAACCCCCGCAGTGATACCGGGACCATCAACACCGCCTCCGCATTCGATAGCCTCTGTGACTTTCAAAGAACACGTTGCCGGAAGTATCACAACGGCACAGAAGGCGACCCCACCGCCAGACAAGAAGCAGAAAGATAACGGAAAGCGTTTCGACTGTGAACCCACACCAACTCCGGTATCATGGAAGCCACTCCATAAACGAAAGAGAAAGTTCATGTCGGATGACGAGGAGACAGGGGCCTCTGGTACAATCCATGTTAAGGTGACTTTAAGAGGATTTCTCTCTGCATTGTTAACCTGAGTTCATACAGCACAGGGCGTTATCGGTGAAGGCCGGTAATGCTGTCGCCCGTTCAGACAGGTCTCAAACAGACGTTGTAGACCAGAGAGGGTTTTGGGATGCAGAAACAAGGGTAAGTCGGCCATGTTGCTGGGGTTCCCATCTTACTTGGGTTGTTGCAGCCGGCAGGATGGGGTCTAGATTCTACAATTGCCACTGCAGTGGAGGTAGGGAGGGAATCTCATTCGGGTCAATATTGGCTCATGTGCAGTCCAGCATTCTGTTCGTCACCATTGACGGCGCTGGCGTCCGGCAGAGGCTGCAAGCGAAAGCTCAGGCAGCTATGACCGAACCCAGTATCAACCCACGATCCAAATGTTCCAAGACACGCACACCCAAGTCACATGCGGCCGTCAAAACACCCTTAGCATTTGCCCTGCCAAAGACCACCAAACCTTCCACTCGTTCAACCTCCCGTGCCGTGCAAACAGTTGTTGTAGACAACTCACCGATTGGTAATCCATCTGTTGCATCCTTTCGACTCAGCAAACAGTCAGGTTTGCAACCATCCGCACCAGCCATCCTCCCGGAGCCTGAACCGACCGCAGGAGATATATTGCAGAGCATCCATGACCTCGGCAGGAGATTCAATCTCCTTGCAACCAATGAGCGAATGGATGCTTTGGATACAAGGGTTGATTTGGTAGAGCAGAGGATTAGCGTAAGGCTGATGGCATTGGAGGAACACTTCTCTATCTCGGATGCCCATCAAAGATCGGTAACACAGTCCATCGGAAATCTGTCGATGTCCTTCTGGGCACACAGGAACAATCCTAGTGCGCATCGTCATCAAGCTAACGGTACCACATATGCACCCCAGCATCACCCGGAACAAACCATTGCATCATGGCCGATCTGTAATTCTACTGGTGATGAACACCCGGGCATCTCCACCGTGGGACAAGAGTACACCCATGCATGGGATCAATCCCTCACGACAGTTTTTCCAGGCAACACCCGGGCCTCCACATCTGGGTGGCAGTTCGCCCACGCTCCGGATCCTCCGTATATGCGCCGGGATTCGATTGCATCTTCCCGACTGTCCAGCGCATCGCCTGTCGAATCGGAGGAGTAGATCTTGACCAAAGAACGAGTTCACAGTCTTTCTCTGATTTTCATTCTGCAATGACATAGGATTTGACCTCACTTTAATTACAATTTTGGTACACAATGCTGGGCGAATTTTGTGGTAACAAATACAAATATGTGGCCTCAGTAAATACACGAGAACTTGAATCCGCGAATCTGTTCGATATCAGTGCCAATGTAACTGCACAGATGTTCGAGATGATCTCGGACACTGAGCTAAATTTGTATTGCGTCGGATAGTGACATGTTTATCCCAGCGGATATGCAGTTTGACGAATTAACATCTGCCATGATCCTATGCATCATAAACTCCCATCCGGGAGTACTTATTCCTGCCACGGACATGGCTGTTGGCTGAAATATTTGCCAGCTGCAGCCCTGCGCCCGCCGCATGCATATCTCCTTGATGCCTTATTTGAGCTCAGTTAATGCGCATCTGGAAAGCTAGTATCTCACCCGTGCATGGATGCTGGGGGGGCAGTGTCACACAATACTATTCTGTACGTTCTAATGTGTCTTGTATTATCCATGATCAATGGTGAAGTTCATTCACCGTGAGAGCCATCGCCACTGACTCTCTCAAATTCTCATGGCTTATATGTTATCGTAGCCCAGCCGTCTGTTATCCACCCGTGGGTTCAGCCGGTGGTTTGTTCAGTATCATGATGAAGACCCGCAGTATATATATCATCAACGGAGGATCTGAGAGGTCGATGGTAAATACAACGACTACCGGACAGCATGCTGGTGATTTCATCAAAAATATCCTTCAACACACAGCTCACATCTTACCATATTAAGTTCAATTATTAATGTCGTGCCGGATATTATTTATTTTTACTAATCAATCATCACCCCACTCCGGGATGTGGAACAAACACTTATTTAGTTATGAAAGTGGGATGTGAGGCATTGATGGTAGTGTTAACGACTGGATCACAGTCGTGGCAACCAAATACATGAGACAATGGTACTGAAAGGCATGATATTACGTCATAATGCAATTACACCGAGTCCACATTACCGTGCCTCCACAAAGCACTCTTTCTCGGAAACATCCACAACCGACGATCTTTATATAAATCCCGACAGCTTGTGCAGATTCTTCATCTTTCTTTCACTGCCGTGTAGCTATCTCCATCAAATTTGTTTATTTTTGACACCAGCTATGACACCCGAAGTAGCAAATGACGGGCTGAACGCCATGCTGGTGACTTTGCAATCGCTCATTCAGCGTTGCATCCATTTGAAGCAGAGCGATCCAGAAGCCCTGAAGTTATCGGATGAAATAGCTCAACGTGTGGTAAGCGTCTTTTCAGTGTCTTTTCATTTTATTGTTCATTTGGCACAGGCAAAAGACTTAAGGGTTTATGGGGGGAGTGCTACATCATTCTCCCCTCAGCTCTTGTCCTGCGCAGCCATTGTGCGACAATACTCAAAGGGTGGCACCTTTCAAACATTGCCTGACTGGAAGTCCGTGGTTGATAATGATCCACGCATCAAGAGCCACCCGCGTTTCCTCAAGACGGTGGAATACCGCCCTCTCGTTGGAACCCCTGCCATTATGGAAGTTCAAGCCACCAGATCGTCATCGATCATTCAACCTCCCACTGTTCCGGCGGTTGACCATGGTTTTATCAAAGAAGCTCCCACACTGGCAGCAGACTTGACGCCGATGACCCCTTTGCCGGCCTGTCTGGAGCTGGAACCGCTTACCCCTCTTGCTCCATCGGTTGCTCCTGCGGCCCCTGAAACCGCCCAGTTCAAGCTCTTCGTGCCAGGCAACATGTCGAAAAAGGCCAAGGTCACGCCACACCCGAGGAATAACAAGAGAAAGGCGGAAGCAGACACAGACTCGGCGGATACTCCCAGGTCGCCAATTGGAGTCATCAAACCGAATCTCAAAAAAATCAAGAAATTACCATCCCACAATGAACAAGATCAGCTACATAAGAACATTGGAACACCAGAGGCAAGTCCAGCAGTTCTTGTCTATGAATCGTCGATGCATCCGGTCACTTACATTGCCAAAGGAATCATTGTCGTTGGGCACAGTCTGACAATATATTGGACCAGGATGCTCGGAACACAATTGATGTAGCCTCTGGCAAGCAATTTCTGGGACGCAGAAACTAGGGTGAGTGACTTCCGGCTCTGGCGTATTGCTGTGTGTAACTAATTTTACATGTGTTTCAGCCCAGCGATTGGGGTCTTGATTCAACAATTGCCACAGCGGTGGAGGTATGTTTGTATGGCTCATTAACCGAGGCACTTGCTTACTGAATTCAGCATTCCGTTCGCTACCATCCCCGGCCATGCGACAAATGCAAGAAATTAGGCTTACCTTGCATTGTCCTGCTGGACAGGAAAGTCGGATGCACGAGACTCGCTTGTGCGAATTGTGACAAGACGAAGGTCACTTGCGCAATCGACGGCATGGGCGTCCGGGACAGGCTGCTGGCTGAAGCGGAAGCAAGGGCAGCGACACGATCCGCCGATCATCCCAAGCGCTCCCGATCATGTGTCCCTAAAGCCTGAGCCGTCAACAAGGTAGTCCAGAAGCCTTCACCAGCTGTATCGACCCTTCCGGCTATACCATTGTCCTCCCATGTTATGGAAGATATTGTCGAACATAATGGTGAGTGCACCTGCACCAGAATCTCGCCGGTCCTCATTTGCAACGGACTTAGATGCCAAGGCCCGACCGATTAACTTCACACCAGCTCCTGTTGTGACGCCACTCTCAACTATGCCCCTGTCGGCACCCATAGCCGATCCGGAGCAAGTCCGCCAGCCCGAAGCCAGCCATCCAATGGAGCAAGAGCCAACAGCAAGGGACATTCTGCAGGCCATCCGGGACCTTGGAAGTAAGTTCGACCTACTTGCCACCAATGAGCAGGTGGACGCATTGGATGCGAAGGTTGATTCGATGGAGGAAGTCTTTGACCACCGGTTGGCAACATTGGAGCAATGCATCAATGCATCTGATGCACATTGGAAGGCAATGACATTGTCGGTCGGACATTTGACCAATTGCATCCGGGACCACAAAGACGACCCAGAAGCACACCGACTGCAAGTCAACACCACGGCATATGCACCTCCGCAGCATTCAAATGTCCAACTTCCTGGCGTGGCTTCCCGGTATTGGCGGCTTTCAAGATCTAGGTATCTCCACCGTCGGCAGACAGTGGACACATGCATGGGACCCATCGGTAGCGACGGGTGCGCCAGGTGATATCAGGACATCCGCATTAGCCCGCAGTGACAGGTTATACCCCTGATACCCCTGTTGTGCGAGCAGATTCAATTGCATCTTCTCGACTGTCCAGCCCATAAGCCATATCTGACAAGTATATCCTTGCGATATCCTGGATCGACATAATGTTGTTTGAGCCCTGTCAAGTAATTTCATGCTGTTATATGTTGCTTTCACCACTTAATTTCAATAGTTACATGTCTTGCCTCGGATACTAGTACAGTTGTTGCCTACCGTACTTCATTTACATTACAAGTTGGACGGTGGTGTTTGCAATGTCAATGAAAAGGGAATGTCCTGCCGGCAGGACTATGAACATTTGAACCGACGGGAATGCTGTACAGACAGTAGAGTCAACAAAGGAAGGTGCGACTTATTATTATATGTAGCCGAATATGCATTTGTTGGTCTCGGAAGTAATGTAAGAAGAACTGAGAACCACACCAGATGGAGCAGGTAAAATACACTCCAGTCCACTTCGCGAGACACAATTCACCTGAATTTATCCTTGGTAGAAATGGCTGGGATTTTGGATGATGTCCCATGCTATGTTTGTTCTCATTGGTGAGTCATTGGTTAGTGGGGTCGATTCACATGCGGACTCTGTTATAAGGAGAAGTTTCAATTTGATTAACAGGGCTGCTGAACGGAAGTCCCCGGACGGAAATAGGAGCAACAATTTCATTATAAATCAAGGACATGCAGATGATTGAGCCTTTGATTACCGATGCAAACGGATACCCAAAACTCGGGAATCCATCCAGTTAGGGGAACCCACCAGGCCAATCAATGTTTATGCGCCCGGCACTAATGATTTTCATCTCGGACGGGCCTAGATCATGATTCTCAGCCCACGCCCTCTATTTCGCCTTGGATGCGGTTTCGAATATCTTTGGGTGGGCCCATCGATCTGCATCTCCAATCATGTCGTAGCCTGGCTCATTTGACCTGGGACAGGGAGACAGATGGGCCTGAATATATGATTGAGAGCCAAGGACCTATATATTATCTCGGATGGGCCCAGCTAATAATTCTGAGCCCATTCGTCTTCTTTGCCAAAGCTAAATTAACTGGGCCCATGTGCTGTATTTATTTGAGGGTTGAGTTTGATTTCATTCAAATGGTGGCTATCAGATGGGCCCAACTAATGATTGTGAGCCAAGGAGCTATGTATTTTCTCAGATGGGCCCAGCTAATGACTCTGAGCCCATTCGTCTTCTGCTAAATTGACTGGGCCCCTGTGCTATACTCGGCTCGAATGGGCCCAACGAATCCAGATCAGACAGGGAGACGGATGGGCCCAATTAATTATTTTGAGCCCACCTTATTTCCTCACAGATGGGCCCAGCTAATGATTCCGACAGGACCTTCATCTCTTCAGCCCTGCGCGCGAGATAATTGGTTGGGCCCATCCGTCTCGCTTGCCGGGACGAAATATTCTCGACCCATAACCATCTCAAATGGGCCCAGAAAATGTATCCTGGGCACAGGAGATGGATGGGCCCAATGATTCCAGACAAATACACGTGATGCACCTGGACTAAATACATTTTCGGAAATGGTGGCAGATTGGCCAAACTGTCTGCCGATCAGGACTGAATATTGACATAGGCTCATCGGTCACCATTATCAACATGAACGTAGGCTGGTCATATCTTGGACTCACTCCCTGGGACCGGGCCCATGAGCTGGATCTGCTGTCTTTATCCTGAAATGTCCTACTGGCTGGCATAGAGTGGCAGAATTCTGCACCTGGGCGCCCAATCTGGGGTCTCAGAAGGTAGACCGGATGCGTGAAACTAATGATTGTGATCGCACTTTCCTCTGCATGGTTCCGGAATGCACAAGGAATGGATGCAGACACGGGTTTGATCATATGTGGGCTCAGAATGTAATACCAACTGATGTTGAAATATACATAGGATGCTTAGAATAGGAGGTGGATGGGCCCAGAATTTTGCTTTGAGCACTCACAAAGGATGGAGAATGGGCACAATACACAAAAGTGTGGATCTCGGAAACAATGACAGATAAGCCTCATACACCCGGCTCTTGCATTAGCTGTGAGATTCCGTATATGACTTAAACGCTCAAACAATAAAATTGTGTTCCCAGCAATGAATTGCCACACCCGGGACCACCGGCAATACTGTTGTAATGCTGGAATGGAGTCTCCATGGGTTCGCATCAAAACATCCAGATCCAGATCCTTCCGATGTGAATATGACTGGGCACCCGTGTCTTGATCTCTGAGCAGCCAGTGCAGATTACCTGATCCCAAATTCCACACTCATCAGAGCTGACATAATCCATGGTAGTCCCGCTGCGTACTGGTTGGGATACCTGAGTCCGTCATCTACAGAGCCATGTCGGGAGCTGGGTGTTCGGGAAAGGATGGATGCGTTGTGACGGAACAGCGATGAGATGGAATGCTAAGTTCTAGTATTGATGGGGGTTGTGAGGTACTGTCCACTCTGTGATCATTTTATCATTGCCTCCGCGGAGGACCGAGCTACCATTGCTTCCGGAAGATCCTGTACGGCTGTGAGGTACTGTCAACTCTGAGATTATTTTATCGCTGCCTCCACCGAGGATGAGGTCATGTATTCCATTTATGTATGGTAGAATCTTCATTGAGATTTGTGAGAAGGCGTGTGCCATCGGCAATGTTCGAATTGGCTAGCTACAATACAACAGATACTAATCTATGTCCCATTCTCCCTATGTCATTGTATGATAGCTTCATGATAGAAAACAGACTGGTATTAAGCTAATTGGTGATGCAACAAATGATAAATGAATCAAATGACCATCAGCGACCCTTCACCAAATATACGGCGGCGCTTTGCAGCCGGCTCCAGACCATCTTGCTCAGGATGAAATAGATAATTCAGCATATCCAAGTCATGCTCCACCACAATCTTCTGCCCATCCCACGCACCGTCAAACCGTCGAATATCCTTCTGATTGACATACATAGGATAATGCGTCTTCTGGATAGGTCCGGCCCAATCGAAATCGAGCAGCATGAAGTGTTTGTCATCTTGGACAAGGAAATTGGTATCTCGTAGGTCGCCATGAACGTAGCCGTCATTGTGATTGTGTAACTCCCGGATGAGAGAGGTTATGGTCTCCTTCAGCGGCTGACGGTCCAAAACACTTATCTCACTGAGCAGTCGATATGAGCCAGGTCATTGCGGAAAGCAATCATTATCAATATCAAGGGCATCCATAATCACCAGATTCCAGCCGCCGGGTAGAGAATTGTAGGCGATAAGTTTGGGGGAGTTCCCCTTGCTGGCACAGAATTCGTGAGCCTGAGGGGAATAGTGCCTGACAAACTTGATGCATATCTTGCTCCCAGCCACATCGCCGACGGTTTCCCCCAAGACGATAAGTCAATCCCTGAGGATTTGAGTCTCATCATACGAGAATGTCTGAATGAATACGGTGGAATTTGTATAACTCCGAGGGTAAGGACATTTAAGATATGGATCCTCGGGTGCGAGGGATGGGATTGGACGGGAGTATAGATTTGTAAGTTTCTCAACGGCAATTTTGAGAGCCCCGAAAGTACGAGCTGCCATCACCTGCATGTGGAGGTCTGTTGAATGCCAAAACAGAGGAATGATAGGGACCAGGACATCGGACTGGACTTTTTCATTGAAAACAGAGCCTGAAAAGCCGATGCATGCCCCTAGTTGTGATCAATACAAAGCTTTAGCAATTAATCTGGTGAAATGAACTAACCGAAGACAATTATATGGATGCATGGAATGAAAGACCGGAGCCTCGCTATCTCAACCTTCGAGTCTTCCATAAACTTGCGGTAGTACAACATCGCCTCCATAAATGGTTTGGCAGCGCCACATCCAATCTCGTTCTTCCCCTCAATTATCATCAACACAAACTGTCTGTTGGTAGACAAAAGATGTCTGTCCATTGTACATCCGGTCAAGCCAACCATAGAAGCATTGAGTATAATGCCGTAGTCCCGGAGCACTTGCCGGAATGTATTCATCCGCGCGAGCTCAGTGGGATAGAAGGCAGCCATCTTTTCCGAAAGTTGCAAAACAACGTTGTTATCACGGACGGTTGGTTGACGATTTTGACAATCATCCACGAACTCAGCGAAGATAGGCTCGAGAAGAGTAATGGGAACAGGGTCTGCGGCTCTGTGAGGACGATTACAAAGGTACTCTTGCTGGTCCTGCTTCATAGAGAATGCGGATGGTTTTACTCCGGCCGACGGACTACCCACGCCCTTCTTGAGATAAGCGATTCGCCGATCAACAGCTGGAATGTGTCTTGCAATGGCGGGATGTTGTATGACAATATGAATACATCCGCGCTCTATTCCATCCGCAAACACATCGGACAGCTCGGTTAACGGGTGCAGCTCGACGCCTCCGTCCAGGATCGCGTTCCGTAAGTCTATATCGTTCCAATTGATCTTGACCTTCCAAAATATCAGATTATTAACATTCAACCGTAGGCATCAGATCACTCACCTTCCATAGCTCAAGACGGTTGGCGGCAACATGGTCAAACTCTGGCTTCTTGGCGACCTTGATAACATTTTTGAGGTCACCGACAGTCTTCGTCCGCTCAACGTTGACTGGGAAAATATGGCGAGGATCATCGCCAAAGACTATGCAGTTAAGTTTCAGGTGGAGCGGTCCGGAAGACACTAAATCAGACCACCATCAGCGAGGAAAGAGTGGCAATATCGAAGGACAACTCACCGGCAGGTGGGCATTGGATAATAATATGCAGATACTTCCGCGGAGGAGCATCGGGAAAAATCTCTACCATTTCATCCACAGGTGATAGGGATTTCGTTGGGTCAAGTGTAAGATTGTTGAGATTGTGCTCAATCATCTCGTCGATAGGCAGGTCGACCTTCCAAAATATCAGATGATCAACATCCGATCCTAGGCATCAGATCACTCACCTTCCATAACTCAAGACGGTCAGTGGCAACATGGTCAAACTCCGGCCTTTTCTTGTCTTTGATGACCTCTTTGAGGTCACCAACAATCTCCGTCCACTCAATGTCGACCGGGAAAATACGGCGAGGATTATTGCCCAAAACAATACAGTTGAGTTTCAGGTGGAGCGGTCCAGACATCTGATGTTGACAACAAGAGTGATAGTGTCTCGAGCGGTGACTGCAGGGAGTGCTCACTGCTGCAGCAACAATGCACTTACAAGGCCAAGCAGCAACATCCCATGACCAGGAAATTGATTTCCTGTGAGAATACACCATGCCTGGGAATTTTCGTCCCTTTCTGGGTATCCGATGCACCATTTATGGGTGAGAAGTGGATTAAGGCCTGTTGCGGTGCATCTGTTGTCGCAATCATGGGTAGTTTGATTGATCTTGCATGCACCACACCAAGCCTTAATCCACTTCTCACCATAAATGGTGCATCGGATACCCGGAAATGGGTAAAATGGTCTATGACGAACTTTCCTAGGTACAGTAGGCCTTAATCCACTTCTCACCCATAAATGGGGCGTCGGATACCCGGACAGCCATACAGGATCTTCCAGAAGGAATGGCGAATAGGCCATTCCTGATGTAGATCAACTGATTTTAGCCTATGGTAGCCGTGATTGTTCTCTGCAATAGCCTTACACCCGGTGCACATATCTGATTCTCCACAGTTGTCGGAAAGGCCACAACCAATGGGTTTGGATAAAAACCCGGCCACTGTAAGACATTTTCCCATACCACGATTCCCTGCCGAGTTGGATCCTCAACATGCAGCATCTGCGACCGCTGTCCGATCAGCAATGGACCCCATTATACGGTCGGCTCTTCTGTCCGGCACATCCCTCGACAATCCGATTGGTGCGAAGGCGATGGAACCAGAGCCTGTATTACCAGCATCGGACACAACGGCTGCATGTTTTCAAACTCCACCCACCTCCAAGACGAAACCCGGAAATGTAGCACGGCAGGTCGGCAGTAGCAACAAGAGGAAGACCGGCAATGAAGATTCAGATGTGGCGGTTATCTCAGATGGACCCAAGTCACCTCCACTCTCGAGGTCCAGACAGAAGAGGAAGAACAAGTTCCAATCAACTGACGAGGACAAAGTTCATACCGGAACTATCTTGGTAAAGGTATGTTCCATGATGTTTGTATATGAATCCTGAACTCAAACGCGCTCCCACCGTGAGGTATAGACTCTGCGGCCGATGACAGGAACTTCCGGGCGGAAGTGACAAGGGTGCGTCGGATACCCGGACAGCCGTACAGGATCGTCCTCTTGTTTGCAAACAGTTTGTACCATCCGAGCGTATTGGGTAATTCTAGGTTTCATGTCCCATCCAGAACACATTTTAGCATTTGTTCTCACACACAATTGAACTGGGTTTGTCTACTTAAATTGTGATGAAAATGAGGTGGAATTCTAAGTAACTGTGGAATACGAAATCAGGAAACAAAGATGAACTCGTTGCATGATTATGCGACACCAGTGAAGATCTGCTCCGATTTCGCAGGCAGTTGGGCGGAGCGTCGGGAGGATCCAAGTGAGTGTTCTTGCCAATGAGCTGGGAAGGAGGTTGCTGACCGGTTAATGCCAAGGTCCCGATATCACCTTCCACATCCGTCATAACACATTCATTCCATACATGGAGAGGCTTTTTCCACCGATGATATAGATTCTGTGAGTTCATGACGGGCAGCATTTTGCTCTGCATATTTGGTACTGTTGGAGTGATGATGGTGAGCAGCCGGATAGTTCTGATGGGCCCGCAAGGACATCGCTAGATTACCCACCGACGAGGAGAGCGACTGCCAACGCGCATCCGATGTGATAATCTGTTTCTCCAGCTCCATAAGCCTCCATCCAAACCTTTCCTCCACTGAATCAACTCTTGCATCCAATGTGTCCGCTCGCTCATTGGTTGCAAGGAGATCGAATCTTTTGCTGAGGTCCCGGATGCTCTGCAAGATATCTCTTCCAGTGGGTTCCAGCTCCGGGGAGTTAGCGTGTGCTGATGGCAGGACTGGTGCCAGCATGGAAATGAGTGCAGGGAATGTTACCTCCAAGGATTGGGAAGGCTCACACGACTGTATATTTTGGGGTGCCCGAAGATCAGCATGATGAGGCCTCAAGTTCGTCGGTTGTTCTAAGTCAGGCACAAAATGTTTAGTTAGTTTGAGTGATATCACAGATCGGCATACCTTTCAGCAGGTCGTCCAAGGTAATATTATGTTGTGCACGGGAAGACGAACGAGTGGATGGTTTGATGGTCTTGGCTGGAGCATTTTCTGCCAGTTTTTTGGAGGCAGGGCGTGACTTGTTTTCATGCATCCTGGGACGTTTGGGTGGAGGATTTATGTTCGGTCCAGCCAGCTGATAGCGTGCAAGTAAGACAAGAATCACTGAAGCAGAGATGACTTACCCTGGTGGCTGTATCCCAAACACCTCCGTTGTCCACCCAGTCAGTTGGGTATGTGTCTTTGTATGTGGTATCCATGGCCACAACATCCCAGGTCTTTACCAACAATGTCTTGTGCTGTATTAATTTGGGTGAGCAGTAAACGGAGACATGCTCTTAGAGTCACCTTCTCATCAATCGTCTCTCCACCCGATGCCACCTTCTTCAGTTTTCGAATCGGCGTCCGGGATATGGCAGCTGGTGCGTGTCCATGCATTACGGTCATTTCGTCATAGTGAGTCTCTTCTGCTTTCCTTTTCCTGCTCTTCTTGGGTCATGCAGCTGTCTCCAGTTGTGTATTGATATTTCTATTTCCTGTCTCCAGAATGCTTTGTCCCACCACCACGGGGGAGATGGAAGGTGGATGGGGGGTCGGCAGCTCCGGTATCATAGGGCAGGCTGTCGTGCTTTGGATGTCCGATGCGATGGGCTCCGTTACCGGAACAGTCGGAGATCGCAACGCAAATGCATTTGGTAGCACTTCCTGGTCAGCTGGTGGAACTGGTTGTTTGGCCTTCGATGAGGCTAGCTGTGTGGGTCCAATAGCCAAGATCGATTTGGTAAGCGTCTGTGTCGTCGATTGCACCTCCGCCGGGACAGCCGAGGACGACGTGGTGGGTTCAGGTTGGGAAAAGGGGCGGTAGTCCACCATCTTGTGGCATTGCGGGTGACTCTTAATGCGCAGGTCATTGTCCATGACAGAGGTCCAGTCGGGCAACGATACAAAGGCGCCAGCCTTTGAATGCTGCCGTACTATGGCGGCGCAGGATAGCAGCTGAGGGGAGAACGATGTGGCGCTCCCCCCATAAAGCTTCAAATCTTTTGCCTGGACCAAAGCAAGTTGGTTATCAAAACATACGGTACAGAACTGGGTGTGGCGAAACTCACCAACCATCTGGCGATCTCATCCGATAACGTCAGCGTGCCTGGGTCACTTGCCTTCAATTTGATACAAAGCTTCATTAGCGATTGTACTTTCTCGAGTGTAGCGTTGAGAGCGTTGTCTGCAATTTCCGAAGGTGTCATAATGGTATATAAAACTCTAGTGACTAACGGGTGATGGTATATGCAGAATGATGACTTCTATGATTTTTCAAAGTCTCGGGATTTATACCAATCTGTCGGTTATGGGCGTTTCCGAGATCTCATGGCTACTATCGGCTACTACAACTTCGGACAACCACCGGTTCAGACACTTTGCAATATCTCACTCAACTCTACTTCAAATCATATTCTGCTTGACCACATATCATTGTACACTTGTAATACACTATTGCGAAGTTGAAACTTTGAAATTCGTCAAGAAATGATTGAGATCCTTGTTGAGGTGTGACAGAGTCAAAAATCATGTCTGCCTGTCACCAAGCCGAGTCTGCCGTAGCGGAGTTTCAGTTCTGGAATCTTACACAACACCTACTTACCATATGCAAGTCATCTTAACAGTACCTACGGCCCCTCATAATTTCGTACCAGTTGATAATGCGTATTCAATAAATCACTTCTAGTTGTTTTTACTGACCATAATGAATACAAAGCCACGACATCGCATGTAAACGCTGCCTGTGCCAGCTACTGCATGCTGAGCGGAGCTTGTCTGCAGCGGATGTGACATTGTGTTACTATCCTGTTACATTGTGTGACTGTCCGAACAACTGGTTGTCCGAAGTTGTGGTAGCCGATAGTATTATGGACGCATGGTGTGGACCGGTTAATGCAATTGTCACGTAATACAACTTCTTCTGTGACTATTGTCCCACGCATTAACACAGTTGGGTGATCCACAAATCGAGGTATATCTTGGCCCATCGTAATCCTTCCCCGACCTCCTTATTTCGTACAAAACAATCATGGTCAGAAAGAGCGTTCGCTTTGCTACTACGGTATATTCAGATGATGGTGACTCCGACACCAGTCCTACTTCTTACAGTAGCTATGTTAGTTCCTCTGACTCCCACAGATCTACTTATAGCACCTCTCCGGAGGTAACAAATGACAAATTCAAGGGGCCCCTAGCTTGGTGGAGCGGATACACTCTGTTAGACTCATGGATTCCGCCCAAGTTGTCACAGATACCGAGGTTTAAGGGCCTGATCGGGGTGGAACCTTATATAAGGTTCAAACGTAAGTCGGCTCTCGAAACTTCTGATCCGGGATTACTAAGAACTTGCATGACAGAATACAACTTGGCCGACGAGGTACAGTTGAGCCAATAGTGGATGCATGATCCCATCGCAAACAAGGACATAAGTACGTTAATCTCTGGATCCACTTGTATTACTAAGCTCACCGTGTAACGTAGGATATGACATGTGCTTCTTAGGAGAATTCGATGAGGTTACCAGCATGCTAGTGGGTGCGTCACATCCCATCCTACACCAAATAGATTCTGATCTATCATTAAAGATATCCATGTCCTTGACATGGTTCATGGGCGTGCCAATGCAACAACGGCTTGTCCACAATCTCCGAGAAGCAAAAACTTGGACGGGTCACCTCTCGGTCACATACCAGAGGGTGGTGATACCACGGATGTGGGATCAATGCATGAACATGCGGGGCCGGATGGATGTGAGTACCCGGGATACAGCTTGGATAGAACTAACCCGCAGCATATCAGCAAATGTCACGTCCGGATTACCTATGGCAGACCCTTATGACTGTGGGTGGGAGGATCCATCAGCTGCTGAACAATTGGACCCGGGCTCGTCCTCAGGAGATAGAGTAGATTTGTATGACTGCAGATGAAAAGATCCCATGGATGTCGAAATGCCGGGAGTGCAAGAAGATTCAAATAGCTTTAGATGGCAGGATTCGTCGGAGAAAGAAGGTCCGTCAATGGTTGAGGAAGATGCATATGACTGCGGATGGGAGGATCCTATGGAGGACCAACTCACGGCCTCAGTGACAACTCTAGGACACCAAGAAGATCCATATGACTGTGGATGGGAGGCTCAGCCAGATGATGGTGCTGTGATAGCAACCTCAGCGCCAACTCCCAAACACCGAGAAGATCCATATGACTGCGGATGGGGTGATCAACCGGAAGATTGTGTGGTGCCTACCACGGTCATCTCCAGTGTCGTACCGGAAGATCCTTACAATTGCGGATGGGAGGACCAAATGAATGCCAACAATGCGGCCCCACTTGCGGATCCAGATGACCCATATGACTGCGGTTGGGACAGTCCGACGCTGATGTGCTGGCAAAGTCCAATTGGCTTCAAATCGCCTTCTAGATGTAAGTTATTCCACATGTACTATGCATGTCGCTAATCGCATGACAGCTCCCACCTCAAAGAGCAATCCAAGAAACAGGTCGACGAGCATTGTGAGACCGGATGTGATCGACCTGACATCGGCAGCTGGATGTAAGTTATTCCGCAAATACCATGCACGTCGCTAATGAAAATCCAGTGCCCCCCTCAAAGAGGGGCCTAAGGGGTAACCCAATGCGAATAGAGAGACCGGATGTGATCGATCTGACGTCGGCTGCTGCATGTGAGTGTTTTCACATATGCTGCTTATGTCGCTCATTGTGCAGCTTGCTCACCGTCGTCACGTGAAGTATCCCAACAAAACACTTTTGAAGAGGCTGGTTGGTCGATGAACCGAGCCATCCAGAGGCTGAACAGCATCGGAACTGACCAGCATAAGTGATATTGACTTATATGATGATTATAACTAACTTGTATTCACGGCAGGGAATGAGTATATTCAAAACATAGTCACGGACAATCCTGCTGGCGTGCGAGACCAATTTCTGGCAGCCACATTTAGGGCCAACCAGAGGCTCTTAGGTGCATATGCAGAAGCACAGGATAGAGTGACGGAGCTCGGTGAGGATCTTGTTGCAATTTACCGATTGCTGGACATCCACCGGCATATTATGGATCCGTTGGATGCCATGATAACAAACCTTCAGCAGGGCGATCAACAAAAAGAGTAGACATCGCTTGATTCTCAGAAGGTTGTTTAGTGCAAAGAACCGCCCAGTAGTAGTTTTATGTATTACCATACAAACAAATTTGACAATGTCCATGTCTGTGTATCTGATGAAAGTTGGAAGTGAGAATCATATCATAGACCATTTACTCAAGATTTGACATAGTCGGCAGCATATTGGGAGTTTGGCTTCCGGGAATGTTTCGCGGGAATGAGATTGGAGGTTTTGCTCTGGGTGCGTTTTGAAGGAGAGCCATCCATGCATTCATCAGTGACCCGTTTCTTCAGTTTCTTGTCCGCGGGCTTGTTGACATTCTCAATGGCCGTTTTTATGATTGCTCTGCTTCTTGACCGCTTCGCAGGTGGCCCCTCCAACGTTTCTTCGGCTGCACGTTTCCTTCCTTCCTTCCTCGTATGTCCGTCATGAGCCAAATGGCGTGCTATGGGGATTGATAGCATCCCTGTTCCTGTTGATACAGAATCTTCGCAATCGCCACGAGCCTGGTTACCGGGTGCACTGCCACCAGCCCAGGAAGCCGGGCCAACCATGCGAATAGGGTGGGTGATGGTTTGTGCCATGCTGGACTTGGAGCGCTCGCGTGCGGTGACCTTTGCGGTCTGCTTCACATCACCCTTGTCACGTTGGACCCTCCTGTCTGTCAAGCTGATATCAGCCGCCCGGGCTCTGATGTGTGCACCCATATCCTTCCGGGCATGTTTGTCCGAAGGCACAACTGCTTTGCAAGCGATATCCAGTTCAACCTCACAGTTAGAGTCATCTTGACTCTTGAGAGATGCTCGGGAGCGGTGCGTATGTGACCCGGTACACTTGTTCCTAATTTCCGATAGCCTTCCTTTCCGGGGAGGTGGCGTATCATCCTCCGAGTCATCGGATGGTTCATCGGAAGATTCATCGCTCGGTTTCCCGGTGTAGTGACTATCCTCGTTGGATGACATGGGTTTGTTCTTCAATCCCCCACCCTGTTTTCGGAGAGTTGAAGCAGATGCGCTCTTTATTGTCTTCACTCCAGAACAAGCTGCAGCAGCAGGCTCCCCGTCCTTCACCTTGTTACCAGAAGATGATTTTTTCACTGTAGGTTGGCGCGGATGACCGGACTTGTTTGACTTTGACCCTGATGTCTTCTTAGTCCAGAGGGTTGGCTGCGCCCGGCTTGTGACCCGCTCATCTTGGTCGGCTGCAAGGACAATGTCTTGACTATCATTATCCCACCATCCTACGAATTCAAAGACATGCTGTTCCCCTTCCTCCTGCCTGTCATGCCAAAATTGTAACAGCTCTGTGGCGTGGATCTGTCTTAGCTTTGATGGCTCAGCGAGATTGTGACCTTCTGGAAGATATTGTCCGGGAATAATCTTGTTGTACCTGTGTATCACATACTTCCACAGCACAGAGACTTTGGGGTCCCCACAACACTTCCCTTCAGGTTGCTTAGATTTTCAATTCGTCGTATGACAGAAATCAACGCACTGTAATGCCAAGTCAAAAATGCCCGGACGACGGCCTTCTTCGTATCTAAATCCATGGAGCCATATGCAGGGACGACGGGATAGCCATCATCTCCGACATCAAGGGTATAAGTGTTGTCCTGTCTGCCTTTCTTCCGAGCAACCGGATTCTCGTCCACATCGCCCTCTGATCACAGTTAGATTGCACCGGATACATAATGAAGTGGCTTACCAAATACACTGGCGGCATATGCGTCCCATTCTGGCTCAATCACTTTCCAGTTGTAACTCTTCATGAACGACGCGGCACCACCGAACTCTTGGTTATAGTCATGTCTGTCTGCGGGGTGAGAAGTTGTGGATCCCAGTGGTCGGAAAACAAACCCGGCCACCTGGACCTTGCTCTCCCCATCCTTCCAAGCTGATAAAACAAATACCCTCATCCCCGCGCAGTTCCACATTTCCGATGCGAAGTGTCAGATCATGTCGTCGCCTTTCTTTCTCGCAATCTCGACTTTGACATCGTCTGGAACACCCCGAGTATTCCAGTCATTGGCTGTCTCTTGGGCTTCTTCAAGGTCTTCCGGTGAAAGTGATGCCATCAGCTGGTTTAGGTGGACCGTGTAATGGTTCATCATCTCTTTCGTTCCGGGTTTGGCCCCGGTCTCGTCCTCGATTTTCTTCAAGAGCTCCTTCTTCCGGAGTGTGTCTATGACACTTCTCTCAGTCCATTTCTGCCCCATCTTGATGGGGGGTTTTCCCGGTTTCTTGGCCTTCGCATTGTTGCAGAACCATGTGTCGTATGTCTGAATCATGATGGTGAGCATCATATGCGCAAAATTTAATGGCAATGCACCGCTTTGCGAGCCTTGGACAGCACGATTGACATCACAGGTGCTTTTGTCCGGGCTTCCATTGTAGCTGCTCTCAAGATATTCTTTCGCTCCAATGGATTAGCAGAGAGCCATTGTTCGAGGTAAGACTGCAGAACAGTAACTTCTTCTTCATTTGCTGGAGGTTGTTTGTTAGACTCTGAATCAGAGGCAGAGTGTTGGTCGGACATTATTGAAGGACAAGGTTATTGATTGACTTGGGTTGTTTTGAAAATATTAATCTTACTCAATTTGCGCTTCACTTCGGCTATTAAGCGAGACATGAATTAGAATACAATTGTTGAGCGTCCTAAATTTCACACAAGTTCTCAGTCACCAAATGGGTAAGTCTAGGGTAAGGACATTGGCTCCGTGGGGAACGGTGCACTGGGTGACATGGACAACGAAGGAGACCACTCGTGGCTTGAAAGGGAAGTGGTGCCCAGTCAAACGCAGTCAGTCAAGCCCATCCAGTGCAATCATCTCCAGCAAAGTCTCCCAGAAAACACAATTCTGATTGCGCATGGGATCAATCGTCAACCGATTTCAATGCTGGCTATGAGGACTTTGGGAATAAGGAGCCAATTGGTGCCCTCAACTTACCGTCAGGGAGAAAGAAGACAAAGGTGCGCTACCATGTTTATGCCATGCGTTTTGCTCTGACCCATGCCCTAGAGCCCAAATGATTATCTCCGGGAATGGAAATTTCAGACGGATGATTACCTCCGGATCCTCCATGAAAGAGAGGCTCCAACAGCGGACAAATCATGCTGCGTGTGCAGGGCTGAGTCAACCGTGTATAGGTGCCACGACTGTCTCGGCGACCCGTTATTTTGTTTGAAGTGCTGCAGAGATGAGCACCGGAGACTGCCCTTCCATAAGATTGGGAAATAGAATGGGGGATTTTTTGAGGAAACGTCTCTGACTAAGATACAGTGGCTCAAAAAAGTGTCCCAATGTTTGTAGGTTTTCATGTAATTGTGTTATTGCGAGCCAGGGTGTGAGAATCTGACTAAGTCAAAGGGAGGTCCCAAAAAGCTCCGCTTCTCGGTTACAATTATGTCCCCTATAGCGTGAGAATCCATTGACGCCGTGCGAAGATATGGCTATTTTAATTAGGTGACTCATTGGGACACTTTTTTGAGTTTTTATTAAAATATGAAAATCAGATCATTTAGACATGACACCATTTACAAATATATATATAAATGGTCCCATATTGACAATATGGTCTCATTTTAATATCCTGTACATATATAAACCCTTCCAATAACATCATGTCCCTCATAATCAGCATGAAGTCTATTTCCTCTTCTCAAAGAGATAATATCCTTTTTCTCTCCACCTCTGGTCTATCTATCAGGCAGATTGCCTCCAAAACTGGTCTGGGGAAGTCAACTATTGCCAGGGTTATAAACCAGAATATTCCCAACAAAGAAAATGTCAAAATGGGTCGTCCTTCTAAACTTACTCTGCATGACAAAAGAGCTCTTGTTCATCATATTATATCTGAAAAGGCCTCTACTGCTGTTCAAGCCACAAAATACATCAATTCCATCATCACTACCACTGTCTCCACTCAAACAGTCAGGAACACCCTCAAGGAAGCCAATCTTAAAGCTGTAGTCAAGAAGAAGAAACCCCTACTGTCACCAGCCCATAGGAAAAGGAGACTAGCATTTGCTTTAAAGCACCAGCACTGGACTATAGAGGACTGGAAGAGAGTTATTTGGTCAGATGGTCAAGAGTATGTTTGGAAAAAGGCAGGAGATCCACTTGGAGAAAAAGAAGTGAAAGGTACTCTTAAGTTTGGAGGAGGAAATATGATGGTGTGGGGCTGCATGGGGTGGCATGGGGTGGGAATTCTATGTGAGGTGGAGGGGAGGATGAATGCAGAGCAGTATGTCTCCATTCTGGAGGAGTGTCTGCTCAAAAGCATGCAAGAATCAGGTATTGATGAAGAAGACATTATCTTCCAACAAGATAATGACCCCAAGCATACCTCAAAGTTGGCCACCAAATGGTTTGAGGACCATGATATTACTGTCCTATCATGGCCAGCACAGTCTCCAGACCTCAATCCCATTGAACATCTTTGGGAATTACTCAAGAGAATGCTTGCTGCCTATCAAGACCCACCTAATGGACTATTTCAGTTATGGGAGAGAGTTGTAGTAGAGTGGGGAAAGATTGCTAAGGAGGAGTGTCAAAAATTGATAGAGAGTATGCCTAGGAGGGTAGCAGCAGTCATTAAAGCTAAGGGAGGAAACACTAAGTACTAGAATTATAGAGATTATGTATAATTGATTCAAACTCAAAAAAGTGTCCCAATGAGTCACCTAATTAAAATAGCCATATCTTCGCACGGCGTCAATGGATTCTCACGCTATAGGGGACATAATTGTAACCGAGAAGCGGAGCTTTTTGGGACCTCCCTTTGACTTAGTCAGATTCTCACACCCTGGCTCGCAATAACACAATTACATGAAAACCTACAAACATTGGGACACTTTTTTGAGCCACTGTAGGTATGGAAATTCATTTGGGGCATCAGGGAAAGCCTTGTCCAATACTTGGTGATATTCACAAATGGGAGGATACCAACGAGCCGATACATCAACCGGAAGAGGACCTCCCTACCATACTCAAACTTCCATTCTTGAACGGCAAGCAATGCATTACTATTGTTGACAAGTCCAGAGTACATTCACTCATGATACGGTTTTGTCAATGTCCAAATGCTTGCACCGCCGACAAGCAATTATTTGAGATGGGCATGTTTCCAGGCATCGTTCACCCGACCGAAGACTGCCTTTACCTTTCCGGTGCTGGACGGTTTCGCCTTGGACAACTTGGAATGCGGAACTTCGGCGATGAATTACTACAACAAGTTGAGAAGAATGACGTCAAGTATATTTCCGCATCTAGTCCCTGGTACATGTTGCATATAGAAAATCATGGTTATAAATGTTCAATTCCCCACAGGACCGTTACAGAGAATTGATGAGGGTAGCACAGCAATGGCGACAGCTGAAGCTGTTGAAATGGAATGGGTTTGGTTATGAGAGAAGAAGGCCGACATCCGGTGAACTCGCTCTCTTTTGCCCGGCTTGCCCGCAGCCCAGCATCAACTCCCCACTGCCATCTGATAGGAGCGCTGATGATCCCAGTTGGCTATATGCCCGATCGCTGGTTATGGACGGCAACTTCAAAGCAGAACACCTTCATCCCACTCATCTGGAAGACGAAGTCTGGTTGACTGATGGCCAGTGCTTCATGGTTTCCAAAGACCAATATAAGGCTCATCTAGCGGTTGCCAACGACGTTGTTCAACCATCCGAGTGCAACAATCACCGAGCCGTAAACCAGGCCAATGCTTCGCAACACAAACTAGAAGCTACCGGGATAGGCGGTTGCGCATGCGCCCGCCACGGCTGTTTTGTGCCTCATTCCATTGTGGATTTTCAAAAGGGCGAATGGTATGTTTCAGGATTCCACCGATTTGATTCACGAGGTGACGTCCATGATTAGGCAAATGAATATGGACTACGCCCTATGTCACGCATTAAGCCACCACACGGATGGGCTCAGTCAAGCTTTCACATTTTATGACGTTAATTGTCAGTATAACAAGCACTTCCAGCATCGGGTGAGCGAGAGCCTCTATTTGAGCCTCCCTTCTGGTATGGAGATCATACCGGGAATTGGCCTCTGGCATGTTCATGGACACCAAGACAAATGCTATGTTCGGTACGCATCAACATTTATCACCGGGGCCGCTAGGATCGACGGAGAAATCATGGAGACGTTGTGGGCGCCTCTGAATATCATATCTCCTGCTGCGAGAGGGATGTCGACCCCCCATCAGCAAGAGTGTCTGATTACCAGATGAATGACTCTAATTTTATGAAGATGATTCGTATGAGTTGAGTTATACATCTCCTTGGGGAAGACTTTTTAAAGACATAATGCAGGCGGTTTTCTTTGCCGGAAATATAAGGAAGCTATTAAGGGCATCACAGAAAGTGCCTCTGCTTTTGACAAGCTCAATGACACCACCGATCCTATCATGGTTGCAAAATGGGAGGAACAGGACCGATATGCTCATTCATGTCGAGTCGCCGATCCATCGGCAATGGATGTGTTTGAAGTACAGTTAAAGAGGGGTGAGTTTCTGCTCCCTCAGCATCCGATCCAGAAATCCACTTACATTGATCAGCACCAACTCGGAAGCAACAGGAGCTAGCTTTACTGTCCTCCCGAGTAGGCCGATTGGGTGGGAATCTGCAACGAGGTGCTGCCACATGGATTGCATCTGGCATTACCATAGAAGAGGTTCAGATAGCACTCACTATGGATATTAGGAAGCTCGGCAGACACCCCACAGAGACCCAAACCTTGGATATATGCAGACGTCGGACAAAATTGCAAAGCCGGATAGATGAATTCACTATTGTGGCGGCAATTCATCTCGGCGAGGGCTTTGATGTTGATGATGACATTAGAGATCTCCACTTGGACTTCATAGATGACGATTCAGAAGGTAATGGAATTGATGGCAGTGATACCGAATCTGACCCGGAAGCCGATGGACGTCAGCTGCGGGATTCATTCTACCCAGAGAAGATCGTGATACCTCTGCCATCCAATATTGGCGTAGCACGCTGTGGGGAGCTGGGAGTTGAACACCTCATTGGTCAGGAAATTGCACTTCAGGAAGGTCAGGCCAACGATGCCTTGCAAGCGATCAGAATGCATCTAGCGGATAAGGCTGTGCTCTTTCATACCGCCGTGTGTCCAGCGAAATCACAAGCCAAATCAACAAGGGCATGGACGCAGGTTCATTCGGTCAAACAGGTCATCCGACTCAACACAATGATTTATATGAAATGTCGGGCACAACTCGGAAACCTGGAAGCTCATGGCCTGCTTAATAAGTACCTCCGGATGGAAAAGAGCCATCTCAAAACAACTGCTGCCATGGCGGACCCAAATGCCCGGGGTCAGTGAAATGCAACTCTTCCGTGGTTCTGGTCTCTAGACATACAAGGTGATTTAGTCAGCAGTGATTGGATGAATGAATGTAAGTCCGTTGCAATCCGGGGGTTTCGGGCCAAGGCTCAAGACACAACAGTTTACAGGGTTCATTGGCTTCGCACGAAAGCATTACGCGACCGATGGGTGGAAGAACTCATTCTGGTTGAACATGAAATGGGTTGGACCCTGGAGTTTTTTCTCTTCAAAGCAAGCATGTGGTTAACAAGGCTCACATCAAACAGCGAAGCACTACCGGAGGGACACAAGTGTTATGCGATTCGGCAGGCCCATATGTACCAAGAACTTGCCAAACACGCACAGGCAGGCTTTATAAAGACAAATCCAACCTTCCGGCCAATTTCTTAATATATAGTCGTAAGAAGTCGTTTATAGACCTGATATATCATAGACGGCCCACTTTGTCGCAAAATTGAGCATATTCAATCCTTACTGCATTCGGTGACATTGAGTGTACACTCAGCATTAAAATCGATACCGCTGCAATGTATTTTGCAAACTAACTAGACGCGGATGCCATCCGGTACGATGATTCGTTGGCTAAACGGCAGTCCAGACTGAATGACGCTTGCGCGAATTATCATTGAAGTTTCCCCCCGGAGCGGATGGTGTTTAATGCTTCCTATGCGGTCATTCTGTAATACGTACGAGGTGGTCTGACTGCGTCACAGTTTTCACAAGTTAGCTAAATTACTGTCCATGTTTCACATGTCATACTCGTTGTCTCCGGTGCGAATCTGGTATGTGCGAGTTGTCCCGAGGAAAGCATTGATCAGCACAGCTGTCTTCTGTGACTCCGAGCGAGATGCAATTTGTTTGTTATCTCACCATTTATGCCTACAGCCATAGATGAGTTCAAGGACCAGCTTGACGACACCGAAAAGAAGTAAATACCGAAATGTGCTACTGAGCTCCAGAAGATCGTTGTCCAGGGCCAGGCTGGTGGTGGCGGCACTAAAAGCATCCTGGAGGAGATCAACGAGACCTTACTTGGCCTCGTCCAAAACCTAAGGATGACATGACATGCTCGGATTGCGTCCTCGGAAAGTAGCTCACAGGGAATACAGGATTATGTGCCTCCGTCCAGCTTTCTCCCTTGGTTCTCGTCCCTGCCGCAGCTCTCATAGTCTCTGTTGCGTCTTGATTCCTCATCAGAACATATTCATCCTTTCTGCGCTCATGTCCACAATGAGAGTATCAGAGACCCACTGTTCAGGTATATACTTTAGTGCTGATATGATTCTGATTTTGAAGTAACGTAGGGTCAGACACTTGTGATCAATACAGACTCCGTGGTTTAGTCCAGTTCTCCAGTTCAGGCCGCAATTGCCAGCAGCTAGCTCGTTTTATACATAAATCATATGAGGAGTTATTAGTTACATAGGCTACGTCATGTTCGGCCGTGCTTGTCAATTGCATTCACGACTGCTACTAGAATAATTGCAAGACAGTGAGACAATTGTATAAGCTGGGTGGACGGGGTTTTGACAACAAATAAGCTAAGGCCTGTGGATCCGAGCATAGGGTTTCAGAAGTCTCACATGTGGAAATCTTCAGGAAGATGAGCATAAGAAATTTAATCTGAGCCTGACCAAGATGGGCGGATGCAGGGCAGCAGACAGTCTGGCTCGCTCAAACATGCGGTATCGGATTCTCCGCACATTGATGAATGCATTATGAATATTACATCCGCATGCATAGGACAATAATAGAACCACTCCCGAGTACAATACCATTGCCACTGATCCACATTTCTCTATCCACAAGCCATGAGTCCCCAGCATTACTCACCACCGGATTGATTACATTCCAGACTTGTCGGAATTTCATAGAGTCAACTTCTTATAACTGCCGTATTCACCCTGTTCACTACCTTGTATTCTTTCGAATCAGACATCATGGCCATACCTCCGGATGTCGCAAATGATGCCCTGAATGTCATGCTCGCTGTCGTGCAATCGCTCATGAAGCGCTGCATCAAGGTGAAGGAGGGTGATCCCGAGGCCTTAAGGCTGTCGGACGAGATTGCCAGGCGCGTGGTGAGTGTTTGTTACGTTTTATTCACAATTCTCCTGGTTAATATACGACATTCGACACAGGCAAAAGATTTGAAACTATACAGCGAGAATGCTACATCATTCTCCCCACAGCTACTTTCATTTGCCGCTGTTGTGAGACAGCACTCAAAGGGCGGGGCCTTTGAAAACGTCCCCAACTGGACTTCCATCACCAACGACGACCCTCGGATCAAGAGCCACCCACGATTTGACAAGACCGTGGACTATCGCCCCCCCTCCACATCCAACATTCCCACCATCGCGACATCCACTGATATTCCTGCCACCGTCCCAATACCACCGGCCCTCATTGTCCTGCCATCGACTCCCTCGACCCTGCCATCTATGCCATCCCAGATGGACCTGGATGTCATCACTAAGCCGGTAGCAGAACCGAAACGACGGGTGGGAGGGCGCAAGAACCCGCCCCATGCCGGTCATCTGGCACATCCGCCCCTTAGATACTGACACCTGTATTTTCCCGAAGCTGAGAGGGAACAGTGGAAGGTAAGTTTCCTGGCCGGCGCTAGCAAGAAGAGGAAGGTGGAAGATGAAGGGGCCAACGCGGTTGCCAAAAAGATGAGGAAGTTGAAGTCCAATGTCAAAAAGGAGCCAACCGGAGTCATCCATGTGAAATGAAGGGTATGTTCATTCATCTTTGGTTAGGCATCTAACAGCTTACCGCTCCAGGAATCGTCGCCTGTTGCTACTGACAAGGACGTTCTGCTAGTCAGAGACAAGGATTTCCTGGATGCAGAAACTCGGGTAAGTGATTCTCACTTACGCATGGCACAGACATTGACTCATTTTCAAGCCTGCAGATTGGGGCTCGGATTCTGATGTTGCTACTCCGTGGCAGGTAAGTCTTTTGATGCATTGTTATACATACGGGCTAACAAATTTGAAGCATTCCGTTCGTTACCACCCCCAGCAGTGCGACAAGTGCGCCAAGTTGGACATAGCCTGCCTTGTCCTCCCCAACAAGAAATTCGGGTACACACGCCTCACCTGCACCAATTGCGACAACATGAAGATCGTGTGCATGATCGACGGCATTGGTGTCCGGCAGAGGTTGCAAGGTAAGGCGGCCAAAGCATCCTCTGACACGTCCAAACCCCCCAAGACGTCCAAGTCCCGAGCTGTCTCCAAAACACTTGCGGCGCGTCCTTCACGCTCTCAACGGAGCATTGCTGGTAGCGAAGGTACGTTTTCTCGTGGCCTCGGAACGAGTTGAGCTCATTGGATTCTGTAGGGGCGGAGAAAAAGCCCACAGATGTCCTTCCGGGTCAGGCTCAAATGCAGCCGGAACACGGGCAATCACCTGTGCCCACCAACCTGCTGGAACCAGAGCCCACCGCAAGAGAAATCTTGCAGGGCATCCAGAACCTCGGTAGGAGGTTGGATCTCCTTGCCGCTAATGAGCAGGTAGACGCATTGGAGGTCAGAGTGGGCGCAGTTGAGACCAACCTGCTTAAGCGGTTGGATGAGTTAGAGCAATGGCTCAACGAATCTGATGCCCGGTGGACATCTTTGGAATCCTTAGGATAGATGGACAAATTTACGATGATTTTAAATATTCACTAGTTATATGGGATGGATCTGATCGTGGGACCCCCGCATGTACTGTAGATATTCCAGAGGACTGTGTACTATTAGAATATTGCATGTTCAGCCTGGTGCTGCATTTGTATCTGAGTTCAATTCGTTGGGTCCACACATATTGTGTATGTGGTATTCGGCACCATGTATATCCGATATGATCTAGCATCATACACAGAGGGTGCATCCGGAACAGATTTTGATTACCCAGCATACCAAGCGGTGATGACCTGATATGTAGTTGTATGTAGGCGGCCGCCAGCTATTGTAATGGCGTCCGGAACCATTTATCATGGTGCAGTTGTGAATAGCGACAATCAATCAATTTAATACTGATACAATGCCGATACAGTGCTAATAATTTTTGTTTATTGTGAGACATATCCATTCGGGAGTTCGCATTCGGAGTCACCTTTGTACAGGCCCACGTCGCCATCAACATCCGGGACCACTGATGCTCGATTGTATTTTCTCCGAGATTTTGAACTACTGAGGTATGTTGCTGACTACTTAGAGTCCAAGACAGCATGTTTGTGTTCCGGCCCCAACATTCCTAAGCCCTGACGAGACCCGAATGCATTACTTAGTTGCTTGCCTGATACACGACTGACTGAATGCATCCGTCAACATGTCCGAGCATCAATGTATAAGCATTCAACTCAACGATTATGCCCAAAACGACTAGCTGGGCCCTTTCGTTATCCCTGCTGCAATGCAATACGAAATGGGTGGCAAATTATGTAGCTTGAGCCTTCCAGAAGTCCGCCCAAAATCAGATACAAGCATACTGGACCTACAATCTACCCGCTGGGCCTGATCTGCACACTGAATTTGTACTAGAATAACCAGTTGGGCTCATCCGGGAACTTGTGCGCTGGGCCGATCCGCATATTGAGTTTGTATGTACTAGGTTCAGAACAAGCGGTTGCGCCGGATACTTCTGCATTTGGGCCAATCCGCACACAGAATTTGCATGCGCTGGGCCAGTTGGGCCCCTGCGTATCAGTATTTCTGGGCCGATCTGTACATTAAATTTGCACCTGCTTCCACAACCGCAACAAGCCTTAACCTGCTTCTCACCCATGGGATTTCTGTGTGATGCTTCACTCGCATGACAAGGACATCGTCGGCTATGTTGACTTCTAGCCGGAGATCGTAGTCTTGTACAGAAAATCGCTTGGACATCTCGATGCATTCCTGACAGCAAACCTTATAAATAGAGGTCGGAAAGTATCAGAGCACTGTCTGGGACCGTCCGAGATTCCATTGATGGCGCCCTGACTGATTGTAAATCAATGGCCCAGTGGACGTATGAGTGGGACGGAGGAAGCATAATCGGCCCTCGCGCAAACAGGATATCGGGAGGGTCCGGCGAGGCCAACTCTTCGTTAATGAAGGGCATATTGGACGGCCCAGCGAGACTATCTTTGGCCAATATCACATTAAGGGCCCATCAAATGGATTGTCAGCCCCGTGGATGATATGCTATATTCTGCCAAGGCGCAAATAGGATGTCGGAGGTGCCCGGCGGACCTATTATTGGGACGTCATCAGAACCCAGGGTCGGTAAGGGTCTTAGCCCATCTGCCGCTCTGCCTGAGCACAAACTACATGAATGGGTGTATAGACGTGATGTATTGTACTGGAACTCGATGGAACACCGCATGTAGGTGGAGTGGTTGTCTGCCACCC